TGATGTGCTTACTGGGTGGATGATTTATTAGTTCTACATTCTTGTGTGTGTTTCCTGCTTTAGCCTCTGCTCATTTCTGGAGGAGTGTGACTGCTGTCAGTTACTTTACTCACACACACAGCTGTCTTCTTTCTTAGTTCATTACATGAAAATGTATCCTGGTCTACACGGCCTGCCACCCAATTCTTTACATATAAATCCTTAGCAAGTCTTTTAACTTACGAGTTCCCAGTCCTTTAGAGTCATATACCTCTTGATATCCAGGTTTGCTTGATTCTGCAGTTTGGATACCTAGCCTCCCTGCAGAAATTAAGTTTGGATAGTGAGATCTGCGTTTTCCTAATATACTGTGTCTGTTTCTGAGTTTTGAGTAGCAAATAGTGAGGATTTGGATAGCAGAAAATTTATTTGAAAATTTAATCAAATTGATTCAGTTCCTGAGTTTTAAGATAGGAGAATTAGAACACTGAGAGTTTAGATAGCCAGGAAGTAATTGTATATGAATTTACTTTGTATGCACTGAAAAAAAAGCTATTCCCCAAAGTAAGATATTTTAAAGTCAAGAGTTGGAGGAGACCTTGAAAGATCATTTTATCCAAGCAGACTCTAATTTTGGTCCTTTCTGAAACACACTGATCCTTCAGGTGATGCTTAGACATGGAAAGTGATGGGAAGCTGACTGTGTGATGTGTCCTTCTGGTCAATTGTTCTAAGTGGAGAGGAGGTGCAGGGCAGTTGGAATAGCCACAAGGGCCATGGGGATGGTTGAAACTTGAAAAATATAATCTGATGGGTAAAATAACTCTTCTGGGAAATTGATAGTAAGTGGAATACTAACAGGGATGTAATTAATATTTTATTCTTATTCAGTTCTCTTATATTCATTTGCCTCTCTTGCCTACAAAGTTATCATTTAAAGCTTAAGAACCTTCAAAGAAAGCAGATTACTTATTTCCTTCTTGAAAGCTTCTTTACCAACCCTCCTGCTTTGGGAGGCGTGTGCTGTGCTCTGCTTACTCACTCAGTCTGGTTGGACTCTGCGAGTCCATGGGCTGGAGCCTGCCAGGCTCCTCTGTCCATGGGGCTTTTCCAGGCAAGAATACTGGGGTGGGTTGCCATGCCCTTCTCCAGGGGATCTCCCTGACTCAGGGATCGAACCCAGGTCTGCTGCATTTCAGGCAGATTCTTTACCGTCTGAGCCACAGGAAAGCCCAAGAATACTGGATTGGGTAGCCTATCCCTTCTCCAGCCGATCTTCCCCACACAGGAATCGAACTGGGGTCTCCTGCATTGCAGGCGGATTCTTTACCAGCCGAGCTACCAGGGAAGCCCTGGAGGAGTGTAGTGCTCTGATTTTGAACAGAAACATCGTCCATTTCCTGGTGCCCATCTTCCTCCTGCTCTGAATAACCAGTCAGGTCATCGCCCTCTTCATCACACCCGGCTCCTTTCTGCTCCTTGCTGGCTTTTTGGCCCCTTTCTGGGCATCCTTTTCTTGCACTCGTCTCTTGCTTTGACCCTCTGACAGAGGCACTGTGAGGCGGGCTCTCTCCGGTGGGGGTCTGTGCCACGTGAGCCGCCGTGTTCTGGACTCCTGCATACTACCCACATGCACACTCGGTGCAGGGATCCAGGTCACGCTCAGAGTTCAGACAGGCCTTTATGACATCAGTCAGCTCTTCCTCAGAATCTTTGTCTGCCTTTTCAAAACCTGAGTGTCATCGTCTATCGTGTATCCCAGACCCAGGTTTGTGGAGCACAGGAGGGTCCTTGTCCCCCGCCCCCGGCTCCTTGCATTCTGAGGTGCTGCAAGTGATGGGTGGTGTCCCCCTTGTCGCCCTTGCCCACAAGTGGGGGTGCACGGTGGCCCTCACGGGAGGTCTGGGGGGCCGTGGAGTGGGGGTGCACGGTGGCCCTCACGGGAGCTCTGCCGGGAAGTCTGGGGGGCCGTGGAGTGGGGGTGCACGGTGGCCCTCACGGGAGCTCTGCCGGGAAGTCTGGGGGGCCGTGGAGTGGGGGTGCACGGTGGCCCTCATGGGAGCTCTGCCGGGAAGTCTGGGGGGCCGTGGAGTGGGGGTGCACGGTGGCCCTCACGGGAGGTCTGGGGGGCTGTGGAGTGGGGGTGCATGGTGGCCCTCACGGGAAGTCTGGGGGGCCGTGGAGTGGGGGTGCACGGTGGCCCTCACGGGAGGTCTGGGGGGCTGTGGAGTGGGGGTGCATGGTGGCCCTCACGGGAGCTCTGCTGGGAAGTCTGGGGGGCCGTGGAGTGGGGGTGCATGGTGGCCCTCAGAGGAGCTGTGCAGGGAAGTCTGGGGGGCCGTGGAGTGGGGGTGCATGGTGGCCCTCACGGGAGCTCTGCCGGGAGGTCAGGGGGGCCTTGGAGTGGGGGTGCACGGTGGCCCTCACGGGAGCTCTGCCGGAAAGTCTGGGGGGCCGTGGAGTGGGGGTGCACGGTGACCCTCACGGGAGCTCTGCCGGAAAGTCTGGGGGGCCGTGGAGTGGGGGTGCACGGTGGCCCTCAGAGGAGCTGTGCAGGGAAGTCTGGGGGGCCGTGGAGTGGGGGTGCACGGTGGCCCTCAGAGGAGCTGTGCAGGGAAGTCTGGGGGGCCGTGGAGTGGGGGTGCACGGTGGCCCTCACGGGAGCTCTGCCGGGAGGTCTGGGGGGCCGTGGAGTGGGTGTGCACGCTGGCCCTCAGAGGAGCTGTGCAGGGAAGTCTGGGGGGCCATGGAGTGGGGGTGCATGGTGACCCTCACGGGAGCTCTGCCGGGAAGTCTGGGGGGCCGTGGAGTGGGGGTGCACGGTGGCCCTCAGCGGAGCTGTGCAGGGAAGTCTGGGGGGCCATGGAGTGGGGGTGCATGGTGACCCTCACGGGAGCTCTGCCGGGAAGTCTGGGGGGCCGTGGAGTGGGGGTGCACGGTGGCCCTCACGGGAGCTCTGCCGGGAGGTCTGGGGGGCCGTGGAGTGGGGGTGCACGGTGGCCCTCAGAGGAGCTGTGCAGGGAAGTCTGGGGGGCCGTGGAGTGGGGGTGCATGGTGGCCCTCACGGGAGCTCTGCCGGGAGGTCTGGGGGGCCGTGGAGTGGGGGTGCACGGTGGCCCTCACGGGAGCTGTGCAGGGAAGTCTGGGGGGCCGTGGAGTGGGGGTGCACGGTGGCCCTCAGAGGAGCTGTGCAGGGAAGTCTGGGGGGCCGTGGAGTGGGGGTGCATGGTGGCCCTCACGGGAGCTCTGCCGGAAAGTCTAGGGGGCCGTGGAGTGGGGGTGCACGGTGGCCCTCACGGGAGCTCTGCCGGGAGGTCTGGGGGGCCGTGGAGTGGGGGTGCATGGTGGCCCTCACGGGAGCTCTGCCGGAAAGTCTAGGGGGCCGTGGAGTGGGGGTGCACGGTGGCCCTCACGGGAGCTCTGCCGGGAGGTCTGGGGGGCCGTGGAGTGGGGGTGCACGGTGGCCCTCACGGGAGCTCTGCCGGGAGGTCTGGGGGGCCGTGGAGTGGGGGTGCACGGTGGCCCTCACGGGAGCTCTGCCGGGAGGTCTGGGGGGCCGTGGAGTGGGGGTGCACGGTGGCCCTCACGGGAGCTCTGCCGGGAGGTCTGGGGGGCCGTGGAGTGGGGGTGCATGGTGGCCCTCACGGGAGCTCTGCCGGGAGGTCTGGGGGGCCGTGGAGTGGGGGTGCATGGTGGCCCTCAGAGGAGCTGTGCAGGGAAGTCTGGGGGGCCATGGAGTGGGGGTGCATGGTGGCCCTCACGGGAGCTCTGCCGGAAAGTCTAGGGGGCCGTGGAGTGGGGGTGCACGGTGGCCCTCACGGGAGCTCTGCCGGGAGGTCTGGGGGGCCGTGGAGTGGGGGTGCATGGTGGCCCTCACGGGAGCTCTGCCGGAAAGTCTAGGGGGCCGTGGAGTGGGGGTGCACGGTGGCCCTCACGGGAGCTCTGCCGGGAGGTCTGGGGGGCCGTGGAGTGGGGGTGCACGGTGGCCCTCACGGGAGCTCTGCCGGGAGGTCTGGGGGGCCGTGGAGTGGGGGTGCACGGTGGCCCTCACGGGAGCTCTGCCGGGAGGTCTGGGGGGCCGTGGAGTGGGGGTGCACGGTGGCCCTCACGGGAGCTCTGCCGGGAGGTCTGGGTGGCTTAGGAGCTCACGCAGTATGTTTGGGAGGAAGGGGCTTCTGCCATCTGTCTCAGCCAGTGGCACAGAATCTTGTACATACTGAGTTCATGATAAGTAGCTTATGATTATTCTATCATGTTCCTTTGAAAGTTAAGTTAGAAGTCAAGAAGCAATGTTAAAGGTAAAATTTTCTTTTAAAAATAATCTGTGTAATGTATTACAGTAAATATGGTTAGTCTTTTTGTTGAGCAGAAGAGTGGAACAAAACTGTTCGCAACTCAAAGGTGGACTGTCCTTAGAGGTTAAATTTTGAGGAGGTTTTTCCTTTGTAGACAAATAAAAAGTTCTTATAACTTTGGTTCTTGGTAATTTATGACTGAAAGTCATACATGTTAAGTCTGTGGACTTATTGACCATTTTACATAATTTTAACCATAATCCAGTATCCAATATCTAGTATAGGTGAGTTAAGTGGGATTCTTTCTGTTTAGAATACCTAAAAGCAAAAAAAAAAAAAAAAAAAAGAAAGAAAAAGTGTTCTATATCGCTATCTAAGTGTTTCCCTCAATCCAGATCCTCTGGAATTTCTGATTAACTTCTAATATCTGAGAGTCATTCCACTGAAATGAATATGTGTACCAGTTACTTAGTAATTTCCATGGAAGTCCAGAAAATCTTTGTCATTTCAGTTCTTTCCATGAGACTTTAAATGGTCTTCTGTGGATTAAAAAAAAAAAGCCTGCAAACATACTTTTAAAAGAATATAGTTAGCCGTAATATGCGTTCAGTTCTTTGACGGGAAGGCCCTTTGTTACGTATTTTTGGCTATCTCAAATAACACACCTTGTAGTAGGTCCTCAGTGTATACTGATTTTATGAATGAATGAGAATAATTTCTTTTTAGGGTCCCGATGAAGAAGCTGTTGTGGATCTTGGCAAAACCAGCTCAACTGTGAACACCAAGTTTGAAAAAGAAGAACTAGAGAGTAAGTTTGTTTAAAATAAATTTTGTTTAGCAGAATAAATTACTAATAAATATTTGTTAGTGTCCTTTAAGTTTTACTTATTATTTGTTGAAACTGTTATTGTTGTCATTGTAGAGCATTCATTTATAAGAGTGTTAAACACTTTTCTAAACATAGTTTAATTTTTCTAAACATAGTTTAAAGAAGACTATATAGCAAAAACCTACAAATAGAACATTTCTTGAAACATAGCTATCAGGATGGTTTTTAAATTTTACTAATGGTTACCATTACTTACCTTGAAAATTGAATGCCACAATTATAAAATCAGTTAATTCTTTAATTTTTTTCCCCTAACAACGTGGGTAACTTGAATTAAGAGCAAAATATAATGTGCCAAAATAATAAGACACAGTTATCACTGGTGTCATCTAAATGTTCATTTAATAGGTCTGTTAATCAGCCTTTTAAAATACTTATAAAAACCTCAGCATAGAATTATGTAGCAAATCAGTTATTTGCCAGTCTCTTTTCCCTGAGCAGGAGGAAGTCCTGACAAATGGTGTCTTTTTTCTTTCTTTCTTTTTTTCTGAAATAATTTTGAAAGTTACAGAAGACTTGCAAGGGTAGTACATGGTGCCCCCTGTATATGCAGCTTTTTCTAATGTTAACATTTTATGTAAGCATAAGTTTATGAAAATGAAGAAATTTCCCTGTTTTTCATAACATTGACACTTTGGAAGAATAATAGTTACTAGTAGAACATCCCAGAGTATGGGTTTGTGTAATGTCGTATTGTGACGTTATACTCTCATAGCACAGATCACGGGTGTGTGGGCAGCGTAGCACATGAGATGGCCTCTCTCACCTGTGGACAGGTGATACCAGTATCTTACTATTGGTGATGTTAACCTTGAACACTTGGTACGGTGGTGATCATAGATATTTATGTAGATCGTAAATTTTGATAGGTTTATTTTGGGGTCTTTTTGAGACCTACGTCTTTTAAAAATTTATAATTTAATCATTTCATCCCCATGTTGAGAGCTACATTTTAGGTTAAAGTCTTCAGCTGAATGGGGCCGTTGCTTTACAAAAAGAGATGGAAAGAGGCCCAAATAAGTGTTCTGCACATTTACTTCCTGAGATGGACAAAACCCGTCTTTCAAAGTTAACTTTAGATGTTTAGGCTGATGAGGGCTTCTGCAGAAAATTTCACTTACCTAGAAGCTTGATTCTGTAAATTGTGGGCCCTGGAGAAGTTAAAATTTTCAGCAATAATTTTGTTAGTTCAAATGTACAGTGACGCACGTGGTCCGTCACTTTGCTGTGTCATCCCTCACACAGGTGTGATCCAGAGCATGCAGAGGGCCCCTTGGCTGTGGTCCTGGCTCCCTCTGCTCACCCAGGCCTTCAGCGCTTCATCCTTTGTGCATCTCTCAGTTTCACTATGCAGTATGAGGGAGAGAGTTAGTTTGTCTCAGAGTCTCACTGAATAGGCCTTGGATGAAATAAAGTTGTGATGGAGAATACAAAAGCAAACAATAAAAGCAGGAAGAATAGTAAGGCTCCATCTCCCAGTCTCTGGATTCTAGCATATTGTTATTTATTTTATCTAGTCTTTCTAAATTTCAAACTCAGAATTCATTTTTGTCTTGGTGTGTAGGGCCTTCTGTGCCAAAACCCATTAGAACTAATGGGAGTAACAACTTTGTAACTCACACTGCTCAGTCATTCTTTAATTTCCACTTTTGGATGGTGTTCAGAAGAAAATAGTTTCACTAAAATAAAAGTGTAAGATCACTGAGTTTTGTGCTTTTTTTCTCCCCATTTTTCTTAATTGCAGTATAATTCAACATAATGTAAAATTCACCATTTAAAAAGTTTTTTTTTAGAATATTCACCATGTTGTGCAACCATCAAACCTTTATTTCCAGAATATTTTCATCATTCCCCAAAGAAACCCTCTATAATTTTCTTTAAATAATCTTTTATTGACGTTTAATTGACCGACAACAGTATGTTAGTTCCTGGTGTGCATCACCAGGATGTGATTTGATGTATTGCCAAATTCAGACTGAAATTGAAGAAAGTAGGGAAAACCACTATGACCAGGTATGACCTAAATCAAATCAGGTATGAAAAACCATGTATGACCTAAATCAAATCCCTTATGATTATACAGTGGAAGTGACAAATAGATTCAAAGAATTAGATCTGATAGACAGAGTGCCTGAAAAACTATGAATGGAAGTTCAAGACATTATTCAAGAGGCAGTGATCAAGACCATCCTCAAGAAAAAGAAATGCAAAAAGGCAAAATGATTCTCTGAGGAGGCCTTACAAATAGCTGAGAGAAGAAGAGAAGCTAAAGGCAAAGGAGAAAAGGAAAGATACACCCATTTGAATGCAGAGTTCCAAAGAATAGCAGGGAGAGATAATAAAGCCTTCCTCAGTGATCAGTGCAAAGAAATAGAGGAAAATAATAGAATGGGAAAGACTAGAGATCTCTTTAAGAAAATTAGAGATACCAAGGGAACATTTCATGCAAAGATGGGCACAATTAAGGACAGAAATGGTATGGCCCTAACAGAAGCAGAAGATATTAAGAAGAGGTGGCAAGAATACACAGAAGAACTGAACTATACAAGAAAGATCTTCATGACCCATATAACCATGATGGTGTGATCACTCACCTAGAGCCAGACATCCTGGAATACAAAGTCAAGTGGGCCTTAGGAAGTATCACTACAAACAAAGCTAGTGAAGGTGATGGAATTCCAGTTGAGCTATTTCAAATCCTGAAAGATGATGCTGTGAAAGTGCTGCACTCAATATGCCAGCAAACTTGGAAAACTCAACAGTAGCCATGGGACTGGAAAAGGTCAGTTTTCATTCCAATCCCAAAGAAAGGCAATCCCAAAGAATGCTCAAACTACTGCACAATTGCACTCATCTCACACACTAGCAAAGTAATCCTCAAAATTCTCCAAACCAGGCTTCAACAGTACCTGAACCATGAACTTCCAGATGTTCAAGCTGGATTTAGAAAATGCGGAGGAACCAGCAGAGATCAAATTGCCAACATCCATTGGGTTGTTGAAAAAGCACGAGAGTTCCAGAAAAACATCTACTTCTGCCCTATTGACTACGCCAAAGCCTTTAACCCTGTGGATCACAGCAAGCTATAGAAAATTCTGAAAGAGATGGAAATACCAGACCACCCAACTGCCTCCTGAGAAATCTGTATGTGGGTCAAGAAGCAACAGTTAGAACTGGACATGGAACAACAGACTGATTACAAATCAGGAAAGCAGTATGTCAAGGCTGTATATTGTCATCCTACTTATTTAACTTCTATGCAGAGTACATCATGCTAAATGCTGGGCTGGATGAAGCACAAGCTGGGATCCAGATTGCCAGGAGAAATATCAGTCATCTCAGATGTGCAGATGATACTACCCTTCTGGCAGAAAGTGAAGAGGAACTGAAGAGCCTCTTGATGAAAGTGAAAGAGGAGAGGGGAAAAGTTGACTTAAAACTCAGCGTTTAGAAAACTAAGGTCGTGGCATCTGCTCCCATCACTTCATGACAAATAGATGGGGAAACAATGGAAACAGTGAGAGACTATTTTTTTGGGCTCCAAAATCACTGCAGATGGTGACTGCAGCCACGAAATTAAAAGACACTTGCTCCTTGAAAGAAAAGCTATGACCAACCTAGACAGCATATTAAAAAGCAGAGACATTACCTTGCCAACAGAAGTTCATCTAGTCAAAGCTATGGTTTTTCCAGTACTCATGTATGGAAGTGAGAGTTGAACTGTAAAGAAAGCTAAGTGCCGAAGAATTGATGCTTTTGAACTGTGGTGTTGGAGAAGACTCTTGAGAGTCCCTTGGACTACAAGGAGATCCAACCAGTCAAACCTAAAGGAAATCAGCCCTGAATATTCATTGGAAGGACTGATGCTGAAGCTGAAACTAATACATTGACCACCTGATGCAAAGAACTGACTTATTTGAAAAGACCCTGATGCTGGGCAAGATTGAAGTCAGGAGAAGGGGATGGCAGAGGATGAGATAGTTGGATGGCCTCACCGACTTGATGGACATGAGTTTGAGTAAGCTCCTAGAGTTGGTGATGGACAGATAGCCTGGCATGCTGCAGTCCATGGGGTCTCAAAGAGTCAGACATGACTGAGTGATTGAACTGAACTGATTCATTACAAATTGATCACCATGGTAAGTCTGGTTACCATCTGTCATCATGCAATCATTGTATTTGTATGCTTTCATTTGGGATTTTTCTGATAATTTTTTTATAATTGAACGTGTGTGTCAGGCAACTCAAATTCTTTTTACTCTGTGCATATTTGTAAATGACTGAGAAATCACCATGAGTATTGATTTTGGGATTACAAATAAATTTTATTGGGTAGGCATATTTACAAATGCAGAATCCATGAATAATGAGAATTGATTATTTTCAAATCTCATCTAAAAATAAAGATCTTGAGTTTCTTGTCTTTTTTCTGACCATCTTACAGAAATTATTAGAAAAAGAATGCCCTGAACAATTTCTATTTCAGCATTAACTGTTTTTTGTTGTACATACAGAAAACAGCTCTCTGCCAGATGGGTTTTGCACAGCTGCAGATGAGTTAAACTTGTGTTCCCCACCCCCTCCCCCCATCACAACTTACACAGGAACCTCATTTAAACAGTTTAAGAAATCAAGTTTCTGCTTCTCAGTGTTGGATATAGTGCTGTCAGCTGTCACCTGGCCTGATTCAGTTTTATTTAGTGGGCAAAGAGCAGGGACTGCCTTTCATCACTTTTTTAATTAAATTTTTTAATTGAAGTATGTAAGATTTCCAGTGTTGTGCCAATCTCTGCTGTGCAGCAGAGTGACTCAGTTATACGCATATATGCATTCTTCTTTAATGTATATTCTGTTCCATTATGGTTTGTGACAGGATATTGTGTTCCTTGTGATATATAGGACCTTGTTGTTCATAATTGTTTTTTGGTCTGAATACAAAACTAGGATAATGTAACATCAGAAGTAGCTTTTTCTATTCTAAAAGTATATTATAACCTTATTTTATTGCTTTTTAATCCAGTCTGACAGTTTCCACCCTTTAATTAGAGTATTTGAATTGTTTACACTTAATGTATCTCTCATTAATTTGGACCTTACTAATTTGAGATTTTTCAAAACTTAGTAAATAATTACAACTATCCATTTGTGAATAATCATCATTAAAGCATATATCTTAAGGGCCTCTACTAAGTAGGATTGACTGTAAATGTAGATGGAAAACATTGATGTCCACATAGTATGATTTCAGGTAGGCCAAGTTCTTCTTTCTCAAAATTTTTCAAACTTGCACATGAATACTTACAGAATATCTAGTATACTGATATGTATATCTAGTATACTTATCAGTTGATGGCATTAGCCTTTGGTGTAACATTCTGTGTAGTGCTCTGTAAAATAAGAGAAGTAACAGGAGACTAGCATTGTTAATTACATGAACTTATATGTAATGCTTTTTCATCAAAGTAGAATTTGGTATTCTTTTGTTTATATCTCCTTTTTCCCTTTTTGGAAACCTAATACTGGCAATACTTGAAGATATTGTAGGTTTGGTTCCAGACCACTGCAACAAAGTGAGTCACAGTAATTTTTTTGGTTTCCCAGTGCTTATAAAGGTTATGTTCATGCTATCTCATAGTCTATTAAATGTGCAATAATATTGTGTCTAAAAAACAAAGTATGTGCCTTAACTTAAAAAATACTTTATTGCTACAAAATGCTAACCATCATTTAAACCTTCAACGTGTCATAATCTTTTTGTTGGCAGAGGGTTTGGACTTGATGTTGGTGGCTGCTGTCTGATCAGGGTGGTGATTGCTAAAGGTTGGGATGAATTTCTTAAAATAAGACAACAATAAAGTCTGCCACCTTGATTATTCACAAATGATTTCTCTGTACTCTGCAGTACTGTGATAGCATCTGACCGACAGTAGAATGTATTTCAAAATTAGAGTCAGTCTTCTCAAACCCTTTCGCTTTTATCAAATAAGTTGATGTAGTCTTCTAATTCCTCTGTTGTCATTTCAACAAGCTTCACAGCAACTTCACTGGAGTAGATTTCATCCAAAGAAACCACTTATTTTGCTCATCAGTAGGAAGCAGCTCCTCACCTTCAGTCCCATCTTCAGGCTCCACTTCTGAATCTAGCTCTTTTGCTGTTTCCACCACATCTGCAGTGATTTCTTCCACTGAAGGCTTGAGCCCCTCAAAGTCATCCAGGATGGTTGGAATCAAGTTATTTCAAAAACTCCTCTGTTAATGTTGATCCTTTGACCTCTTCCCATGAATCTTGAATGTTCCTCATGGCAGCTAGAATGGTGAATCCTTTCCAGAAGATTTTCAGTTGATTTTGCCCAGATCCGTTGGAGGAATCACTATCCATGGCAGCTGTAGCCTTAACAAAATATATTTCTTAAATAATAAGACTTGAAAGTTGAAATGACTCCATGATTCATGAGCTGCAGAATGGATGTTGTGTTACCAGGCATGATCATTAACCTCTTTGTCCATCTCCACCAGAGCTCTTGGGTGTCCAGATGTCTTGCGAATGAACAGTTGTATTTTGAAAGTAATTTTTTTCTGAGCAGTAGATCTCAACAGTAGGCTTAAAATGTTCAGTAAACTGTGTTGTCAACTGATGTGCTGTCATCTAGGCTTTGTAAAGCCTATAATGGAAAAGAATCTAAAGCTCTACAGCTGAAACTAACATAATATTGTAAATCAACTAGGGTTAAATAAATAAAAGAGAAAGCCTAATTCTTAAGGGCCCTAGGCTTTCGGATGGTAAAAGAGCACTGGTTTCAGCCGCATGTCACCAGCTGCATTAGGGAGTCAGCCAGTCCTTTGCAGCTCTGAAACCAAGTACTGACTCCTCTCTGGCTGTGAAAGTCCCAGACGGCATCTTCTTCCAACAGAAGTCTGTTTCATCTTCATTCTATTCAGACCACTAGAACTTTCTCCATAGCAGCAGTAAAGTCATTTCAGTTTCTTATCATTTGTGTGCTCACTAGAGCAGCACTTTTAATTTCCTTCAAGAACCTTCTTTTGTACCCGCTTCTTGGCTGTTTGGCACAAGAGGCCTGGCTTTAGGCCTCTCTTGGTTTTCAACATGCCTTCCTTACTAAGCTTAATTATCTCTAACTTCTGATTTAAAGTGAGACACGTGACTCTCCCTTTGACTTGACTACTTACAGGCTGTTGTAAGGCTGTTAATTGGCCTGTTTTCAGCATTGCTGTGTCTCAGGGAACAGGGAGGCCCGAGGAGAAGGGGAGAGGTGGGGGAATGGCCAGCCCATGGAGCCGTCAGAACACACACATTTATCAAGTAAGGTTGCCATCTCATATGGGCATGGTGTGTGGTGCCCTCAAACGGTCACAAGTACCACATCAAAGATTACCGATCGTAGATCACCAAAATAAATATAATACTAATGGAGAAGTTTGAACCGTTGCCAGAGTTACTACCAAAGCATGATACAGAGAGGAAGTGAGCAAATGATGTTGGGAAGATGGTGCCAATAGGTTGGCTCAATGCAAGGTTGCCACAAACCCTCGATTTGTAAAAAGCACGGTAACTGTAAAATGGGGACTGCTAGTAACGTTTCTGAACGTCTTACCAGGCCATCGAGCTGTGTACATCGGTGTTCACGTTCCGTTTAGTAAAGAGAGTCGCCGGCGTCACAGGCATCGCGGACACAAGCATCACCATCGGAGGAGAAAAGACAAGGACTCGGACAGAGAGGATGGACGGGAATCTCCTTCTTATGGTGAGAGAGGTGGGAGGTTCTCCATTCATGCCTAAGGCCCTCTCCTGGGAATTGTAACTAAACATGTCCTCCTAAAAATTATATTTCTGTAATTTAGACAGTATATGCATTGAGGAATAGTAATTGAAGTAAGAATATTTTTTTCTTTAAGAAAAATGCTTAGTTTATAGCTTAAGATCTACTTGAGGTAGGTGAAAAAAGTAAGGGATTTTGGTTTCTTTACTGTATTCTAGCCTTGGAACTGTAAATGTTGAGGCTTGGCTCTTCAAATTCAATTTAGGAGGATTTCTATTTCCTTTTCTATATTATATGTTTCATTGTTTACATATGCAGTAAACAAATATCTAGAATCCTTAGGCTCCTGGAAGAGATTGAAATTGTTTCTTTCTTTCTTTTTTTTTTTTTGGTGTGCTTCTGTAGCAATCTTTATTTATTTATTTCATTTATTTTTATTAGTTGGAGGCTAATTACTTTACAATATTGTAGTGGTTTTTGCCATACATTGACATGAATCAGTCATGGATTCACATGTGTTCCCCATCCTGAACCCCCCTCCCACCTCCCTCCCCATCCCATCCCTCTGGGTCATCCCAGTGCACCAGGCCCGAGCACTTGTCTCATGTATCTAACCTGGACTGGTGATCTGTTTCACACTTGATAATATACATGTTTCAGTGCTATTCTCTCAGATCATCCCACCCTCGCCTTCTCCCATAGAGTCCAAAAAGGACACAAATAGATGGAGAAATACACCGTGTTCATGGATTAGAAGAATCAATATTGTGAAAATGAGTATACTACCCAAAGCAATCTGTAGATTCAGTGCAATCCCTATCAAGCTACCAATGGTATTCTTCACAGAACTAGAACAAAAAATTTCACAATTTGTATGGAAATACAAAAAACCTCAAATAGCCAAAGCAATTTTGTTTTCATTTTTAAGTACGTGTTTTGACCAGAAGATTTTGTCCCTTAGGCTGGATTACTTGGTTTTCTGTGGAAAAAAAAAAAAGAGTGCTTTGATTAGAAAGTTTTGTCTTTAGAAAGTTTTGTCTTTAGAAAGACAGACTTTTTGTTTGAGAGCAGAGCAATAAAGAAGTGTCAGCAGACACAGTAAATGTTGGGAATCTTAGGAAAAAAAGCATATAGTAGAGGAAAGAAAATTAATAATGTCTGATAATGACAATTGCCAGTTATTTAAGTGGCCCTGAGAGCTGCAAAGGGGAGAACCAGAAAGAATAGTTGTGCAGCTTGAGCAGGACCTTGGACATGTACTCAGTTGACATCCAGGGCATCATTGGTTTTTGAGGACATCATGGCCCTTGTGGCTGTCTACACCATTGATCCTGTGTGTGTGCTCTCAGGAGCTAAGTGAGCTGCACCCCATGGGCACTTGTGTGCTGTGCTAAAAAAAAGTTTTGTTGAAGAGTGAAAGAATTACTGTATATTATACAACTTATGTCACAATTGAAGGAAGGGAAATACTGATGGGGTAGTAAAATACTAACTGCCATTTCTGTGAAGTATTCCACAAAGCCCTTGACATATGCCCTTTGATTTAATCTTCTCAGCATTTAAAAAAACTAAAGATTGGTATTATTGTTTTCATTGTATAGACAGAGAAGCCTCAACTTAAAGAGGCTACATGACGGGAATCTCTTCTCCAGTCCTAAGAGATACTGACAGCCTGATAAACTCTATCAATATTAAGTGGTCCAATAGCCAAGAAAGATAACGTCACTAGCAAAGGGAAAGTCGATGCTCATTTTAGAAAGGATCACTGGTGGACTCTGATGCTGTTGGTAGTTGAGAAGTATCTTGCTGGGCTTCTCAGGTGGCTCAGTGGTAGGGAATCTGCCTGCCAAGCAGGAGATCTGGGTTCAGTCCCTGGGTCGGAGCACCCCCAGGAGAAGGAAATGGCAACCCACTCCAGTATTCTCATCTGGAGAATCCAGTGGGCAGAGGAGTATGGCAGGCTCCATACAGTCCTTGGGGTAGCAAAGAGTCAGATGTGACTGAGCAACAAGTATTCTGCTGTTCCATGTGACGATCCATCCAGTTTAGAATATCTTACTTTGTGAGTAGATGAATATGCTTCTTTATTTCATTCTGAGTAAAAAGGTACACAGTATTTTTTAATAGAAAAATTTTTTACTAAATTATGTTTATATGTTCACCTGGCTAGGTGGTTTAATGTTTATGCTGAGGTCTGACATTTGAAGTCTAAATATAGTGGTTTGAAAAATATATTTGGTAGAGAAAATATTTGTGACTTTTTCATGGAGTTATTATGCCTAGAAAAGTTTTATGCCACAGAGGTGGGTTTATTTTGGTTTCAACTGCCCGTCTATATCCTAGAAATTGCTATGAATTGAGGTGGCTTCTTTCTTCCCCTGACTCTCTAAAAAGAGATTATGCTGGTCTGCTGCTTCTGGACATGATGGAATAATAGGAATTGAATTTGCCTTCCAACTGTAAATAGCTAGAGAACTGCACAAAGTGTTTGAAGTAGTAGTTTTCAGACATGGGGCGACAGGCAGCATAGGACGCTGAGCTCTGAGAGGGGAAGCGGCAAGCTGGGCCCTGTGGTTCCTGAGCTTGTCAAGCGAGGTGGTTCCCAGGCTACAACCTGAGGAGCCGGGACAGAGCCTCGCAGCTCTCAGGGCTGAGGAGATAGGCTGGGGTTGGGGAGGCCTAAGGTGTTAGCTGAGCGCCAAAGAATTGATGCTTTTGAACTGTAGTGTTGGAGAAGACTCTTGAGAGTCCCTTGGACTGCAAGGAGATCCAACCAGTCCATCCTAAAGGAGATCCGTCCTGGGTGTTCATTGGAAGGACTGATGCTGAAGCTGAAACTCCAATACTTTGGCTACCTCATGCGAAGAGTTGACTCATTGGAAAAGACCCTGATCTGATGCTGGGAGGGATTGGGGGCAGGAGGAGAAGGGGACGACAGAGGATGAGATGGCTGGATGGTATCACCAACTCGATGGACATGAGTTTGAGTAGACTCCAGGAGTTGGTGATGGACAGGGAGGCCTGGTGTGCTGCGATTCATGGGGTCGCAAAGAGTCAGACACAACTGAGTGACTGAACTGAACGTGTTAGCATTTAAGATGTAGAGTGCCAGAGAATAGAGAGCTGCACACAGAGAGGGTTCCAAAGGTCTGAAGAAGGGCACTATTCAGTCTTTGGCTGAATGCTCATGTGGGTGTGTGTGACAGAAAACTGTCTGAGGCTTGCAGGTTGCCTCCAGAAAGCAGTTACAGTAAGTAGTTCTGGATTTCACACAAAAACTAGGTATAGGATGTGTTCCCACTATTCTGACGGTAGAGGTCTCAGTAGGACTCAGTAGGAGGTCTAAATCAGTTTTACACTCAAGACTGCAGTGAATCTACTAAAAGAAAATTTTAAAGCAGGTCTTGAAAGAATTAAATTGACATTGAGTTTCTGCATGTCAGAACAAAGTCTAGTACTACTGAAAGAAATGCAGTAAAACCTAGCATTTAACCATGTGAAGTGCACAATATCTGACATTCACAACTTACTTGAAATATAGTGATGTAGGAAAGTAGATGTAACTAAGAGACAAATAAATCAGTAGGAGCAGATCCAGAAATGACAGACTTAATAGAATTCTAAAGCTAAAGCAAGCATGTTAAAGCAGTATAATAAATACTCTTTATATGATCAAAGGGAGAGAGAAAAATAGACTGATGAGGAGGGAGGCTGAAAATATATGAAAGTCCCAAATGGAACTTCTACATGTGAAAAATAAAGTATCTGAAATGAATAGTATGCCAGATAAGATTAACGGATGATTTGACATTACAGAACAAGAAAGATTAGTGATTTTTTTTAAGAGATTGTGATAGAAACTAATCAAAATGAAACACACAAAAAAGCTGAAAAACCAATAAACAGCATCAGTAATTTATCAGACAATATCAGTTCAGTTAGTCTAACATGTATATAATTGGAGTGCCAGAAAAATTTCCAAAAGTAATTAAAACTCTGAAACAAGTCCAAGGAATTCAGCAAAGCCCAAGGAGAAGAAACATGAAGAAAACCACCCAAAATCACAAATATCAAACTGCTGAAACCAAGATGTAACAGTCCTAAATAGCTTCAAAATCCGTGAAGCAAAAACTGATAAAACTGAAAAGAGAGAAATCGACAAGTGTAGTTGGAAATAACAGCTCTCCTTCCTCAGTAATGGATAGAACAAGTGAACAAAAAATCAGTAAGGATATGGAAAACCTAAGTAACACTGTCAGGTTGATAGTCACATGCATAGAACTCAACCACAGCAAAATATACATTCTTTACAAGTGCATATCAAAGATTTACCAAGATCATATTCTAGGCCATAAAACAAGTCAGTACATTTGAAAGGACTGAAAGTATATTCTCTGACCACAATAGAATTAAACTAGGAATATACTGAGGTAAATACCCAGATATTTGGAAATTAAATGCAAAGCTTCTCAGTAACTCATGGGTTAATGATGCAATCACAATAGAAGTTAGAAAGTATCTTGAATTCATGAAAATGAAAACCCAGTATAGGCAGTACCTGAGAGGACATTCTTCAAAGTGAGGACATAGTTCTGACATGCACAGGTTTCATTTAGCATGGCTCTCTGCAAAGTGAGGATGTCTATAGTTTGAAATTTGTCAGGTGTGGCTGAAGCAGTGCTTAGAGAAAAATGTATAGCATTTTATCTTAATATTAGAAAAAAGGAAAGACCTAATCAGTGATTTAAGCTTGAAATTTAAGAAATTGAAGGAACAAATAGAGCAAATTAAACCAAAATATGGAAAAGAAATAATTGAAATGAAAGCAAAAATGAATTAACTAAAAATTAGACCAATATTAGCAAAAATCAATTCGACTAAAATCTGGTTCTTTGAAAAGATCAATAAAATTGATAAGTCTAAATAGCCAGACTGATCATGTGAGGGGGAAAAAAGATACAAATGACCAGCACCAGAAATTTTCAGTACAGATTCTACAGATATTAAAGACTATAGAGGGAGTATTATGAATGATTCTGTGCCAACAAAATTGATACTTCAGATTAAATGAGGAAGTTTCTTAGGATTACATGCTCTTAAGCAGAAATGGGTAACTTGAATTACCCTGCATGTAGAAAAAGAAATTGAATTTGTAGTCTCAGACATTCCATGATGAAAATTTACTTCCCCATACATAGCAACATATAAAAATAAGAAATAACACAGACTCTGCCAGATTACTGAAGATGACAAAACTAGGAATAGCAAACTAGGAATATTAGAAAACTTCCTCACTTCCCAAGTCATCTTGTGAAGCCAGCATTACCCTGGTACCAAAACTTTATAAAGATGTTACGAGAGAATAAAACTGCACCCTAATTACTTCTCAGAAATGTAGATTCAGAAGTCCTTAAGAAAATAAACACATCTTTTTTCCACCAATATTTAAGAGAGCTAATCCATCATGACAGCACTTGGCTGAGTGGTGGCCCCCACCTTGTCTGCGTCCCTGATGTCTGGAATCTGAGTGTTAACCTTATTTAGCAAAGGTGAATTTACAGATGTGACTAAATTAGAGGATCTTGAGTAGTGGAGATCATGCTGGATTAATGGAGATGGGCTAGATTTAATCACAAGGAGTCAGAAGATCAAAGGAGACAGTGGTGGTATTGATACAGTGGGGAGGGGTTCAGACCCTGGGAATGTGCACAACCTCCAGAAGCTGGAGCCTCCAGGGAGAACCATCCCCATGGTTTTAGCCCTGTATAAAACCCATTTTGGACTTATGGTCTCCACAACTGTAAGAGAATAAACTTGTGTTATTTAAGCCACCGAATTTGTAGCAATTGACTATAGCAGCAATAGGAAATTGATAAACAAGTGGAAATTCAGGGTCGTTTTAAAATTTAAACATCTATCAATGTAAACTTATTAACGGTATAAACCAGAAAAACACCATGTAATCATATCAATAAGACAGAAAAATTCCACCCCCATTCATGATAAAATTCCCCTAACATACTAGGAATATTAAGAAACTTCCTCAGTGTGATAGAGAGCATTTAGAAACGCTGGTGGGAGACTGAAACTTTTCTCCCTGTGAACTGGGAAAAGGCAGGCTGTCCTTTCTCACCACTTCTGTTCAGCATGGCACTGGCACACCTCTTCAGTGGAATACGGCAAGAAAGAAATGAAATACATCCAGAAGATAAACGAAGATGTAAAACTGTCTTTATTCACAGTTACAGAATAACATATGCAGCAAATCCTAAGCAGTCTGCAAAGCTACAGAAATACATGAGTTTAGCAAAGTTGCAGGATACAGAATCAGGGTACGGAATCAACTGTATCTCTATATAAGAGCAGTGAACAATCAGAAAATGAAGTAAATACTGACACAGTAGCACCAGAAAAATTATTTGGGGATAAATTTCACAAAAGATATGTAAGACCTAACTGTTGAAAGATTCAGGTGTTAGAAGTCCAGTCACACCATGGTTTTGTCATGTGTTGGTCCCAGAATGTTCCTTCATTGTGAAGACCCATGTCATGTGCGTACTGTACAGTTTTGCATTTCGTACTCCTCCTCTTCTCCTGTTCTTTATATTTTCCTCTATCTGGTGTTTTTTTCCTCTTTGGCTAGCTTATTCTGTTTTCTGTATCTCTTAACCGTGTGTGTTTCTGTCTTGTCCTTAATGCATTCTGTATAACCTCCTCCTTACATCTGTCTTTTCTTTGAACAGTTCTACTTCTAGTCTGCTTTGTAACCTGTTTTAATTTCCCTGTTGGGGTTTTAAGTTCCTGGAGGTTTGTTTACTTAGATGTAAATTTTGAATTTGATATCCTCTCTCATATTTGGAAGAATTTGATTTTGTTTTTAATTGATGCTTGTTGTTGTATGCTTATGTATGCTTTATTCTGGGGCCCCTGTGGGTTTAAGTTGTTCTGGGCTAGAATGTATGTTAATTTCTCGGTTGGGAATCCTGTACCACACAGATAGACTCGGAGATCATGAGTGGCAGTGACCTGTCCTGTGTCTCTGACCTCAGAGACAGACTTGCTTTTCCGTGATCGTAAGAAAAGTTAGTTTTGCGTTTTCTCGTCTTTTTTTTTGAAACTCAGGGATTTTTTTTTTTTTTTACTTTTCAACTTAATTACTTATTAACTATTTTATTTATTTAATTAACTATTTTAAATGTTGTATGTTGTCTAACATTTCCATCTATTTTTGATGAGGGCAAAGTCCTGTTTTATGCACAGTGTTTTCTTGGTTTTGGATATTGCTTACTTTGTTTTTACAGAAGTTTGTTGAAGATTAGTGTGAGTTATCTTTAACATACTGTTTTTCTTTTTCATCTATAGAGGTGATCTTTCTGTGAAATTCTTTTTTTCTAGATTGTTGGCCCTTATTTCCTTTCAGAATTGTATTGTTTTAATAATAATCAGAAGAAATTTGTTTTAATGGAATATATCTGTAACAAAACAGTGAGTAGAGAATTTCCTCACTTTTGGAAATTCTGTATTGAATTTACCTTTGTATTAATTGGGGAAGATTTTTGAGTGTGTGTTTTTAAATTCTGATTTTTGTCAAGACACGCCATCCCAGAGAGTGCAGTTCATCCTCGGCACTGAGGACGACGATGAGGAGCACATCCCCCACGACCTCTTCACAGAGATGGACGAGCTCTGCTACAGGGACGGGGAGGACTATGAGTGGAAGGAGACGGCCAGGTGCTGACGCTCTCACTCGAAGCTTCCAACCGCTGCTTCTTGGTCCCTTTCAGTAATGAAAGCATAATATTGAAACTGTGAGACACATGATGCTTTAAAACAATGAGTAGAGAATTTCCTTGGGTCTAGAAATTCAGTATTTAATTTTTCTCTTTATTCTCATAATTTGTTTCATTAAATAATTCCTAATACCGTAATAGAACACAAAAGGAATTATGTTAACTGTAGATTTTCGTGTCTTTAATTAGAGAAAAAAATCTGAGAAGACATTTTGCATATTCACAGTTTAAAGTAAGATTGGAAGTTGACGTGATGGAATTCCAGAGTTTGTCTCTATAGAGTTACTGTTGTGACAGCTGGAACAGAAAGAGGAACTGCCAAGATCTAGTGACTCGCAACATTACAGACCATTAGCCTAATTTGTAAAAGTGTGTAGAAAAATTTTATTTTGGTGATGGTGATCTTTTTTTCTCTTTATAAGAATATGCTTGCATTTGTCATATTAAACAGAATCATCACTATTTGTAACATATTTGTATACGTTATACATTTCAGATGGCTGAAATTTGAAGAGGATGTTGAAGATGGTGGTGACCGGTGGAGTAAACCTTATGTGGCAACTCTTTCTTTACATAGTCTTTTTGAGCTGAGAAGTTGCATCTTAAATGGAACAGTCATGCTGGATATGAGAGCAAGCACTCTCGATGAAATAGCAGGTGACAGCAAAGTGACTTCTTTATGTTTAAATTGCAGTGAAGTTGAGATAAATAAGGAAAATAAAGTGAAATTCTGGACTGTTGATTTGATGGTTACATGTTGAGCTTCCGTTCTGTGCCGGGCAGTATGTAGAGTTAGATGTAAATAACCCTTTTTATCCTCGGTAAGTTTGGAGTCTGGAAGATGAACTGAGACAGAGGTAGCTACAGTGTCAAGAAGACTGTGACTAGTGCCATAAGCAAGATCCAGAGTCTGTTCTTTGGAGGTGCAGAGGAAGGAGCTTTCCGTTTGGTTGTTTCTGGACCGTGGTATCTGGAGAGACCTAGAAGGTACATTAACTGCACAACTTATCCACAGAGCGTGAACACATGGCAGCAAGGGGAAGGTGGTGTGAGAGGAAAGAAAGTGTTCTAAGGAGGAAGAGAAGAGAAGGCTAGAAAGTGCCAGCAGGTATGATCTCAGGAAGGCCAGTTCTCTGTGAGTACACAGGTTTCTTGAGATTTGCAGGAAAATACTTTACAGGTGAGTTACACTATCCTTGAATTACTGGGTTAAGAAATTGGGTTTGATTTGACAGGCATTTTGGTTCTCAGTGATTTTTAAGTACGAGAATATTAACCAGATATGGAACAACTGACTGGCTCAGTATTGGGAATAGGATACAACAAGGCTGTATATTGTCACCTTGTTTATTTAGCTTACATACAGAGTACCACATGTGAAATGCTGGGCTGGATGAATCACAAGTTGAAATTAAGATTGTCAAGAGAAATATCAATGACCTCAGATATGCAGATGGAGAAGGCAATGGCACCCCACTCCAGTACTCTTGCCTGGAGAATCCCATGGATGGAGAATCCTGGTGGGCTGCAGTCCATGGGGTTGCTAACGGTCAGACATGACCGAGTGACTTCACTTTCACTTTTCACTTTCATGCATTGGAGAAGGAAATGGCAACCCACTCCAGTGTTCTTGCCTGGAGAATCCCAGGGATGGGAAAGCCTGGTGGGCTGCTGTCTATGGGGTTGCACAGAGTCGGACACGACTGAAGCGACTTAGCAGCAGCAGCAGCAGATATGCAGATGATACCATTCTAATGGCAGAAAGTGAAGAGGAACTAAAGAGCCTCTTGATGAGGGTGAAAGAGGAGAATGAAAAAAGCTGGCTTAAAGCTCAACATTCAGAAAACTAGGATCATGGCATCTGATCCTACCGCTTCATGGCAAGTAGGAGGGGAAAAAGTGGTAACAGTGACAGATTTGATTTTCTTAGGCTCCAAAATCACTGCAAACAGTGACTGCAGCCATGACACTAAAAGGTGTTTACTTGGAAGGAAAGCTTTGCCGATGAAGGTCTGTCTAGTCAAAGCTATGGTTTTCTCAGTAGTCATGTATGGCTCTGAGAGTTGGACCATAAAAAATGCTGAGCACCAAAAAATTGATAATTTCAAATTGTGGTGCTGGAGTAGACTCTTGAGAGTCCCTTGGACTGCATGGAGATCAAACTAGTCAATCCTAAAGAAATCAATCCTGAATATTTACTGGAAGGACTGATATAGAAGCTCCGATACTTTGGCCACTTGAAGCAAAAAGCTGACTCATTAGAAAAGATCCTGATGCTGAGAAAGATTGAAGGTAAAGTGAGAAAAGGGTGACAGAGGATGAGATGGTTGAATAGCATCACCAACTCAGTGGGCATGAATTTGAGCAAAGTCTGGGAGATAGTGAGGGACAGGCGAGCGTGGTGGGCTACAGTCAATGAGGTCACAAAGAGTCGGACACAACTGAGCAACTGAACAACAACAGTGATCTTGATGTGTGTCAGCAGGATTATTCTGGGAGGAGGAGGTAGGGTGGCTTTGGACTAGAAGAGGTTAGAAGCCAGGAGGTGGTTTATTCTCTTCGAATGTCTCAGCAAGAAATGCTAGAGACCTGAAGTGTGGCAGGTGGTACCAGTGGAAATGGAGAGAGAAAGAACAAGAAGATGCTGTGATGAAGCTACTTGGTCATTAGCTGAAGTTGCTCAAAACCAAAATCAAGTTCAGTAGTAATAAATTTTATAGTGTGACTACCATTATAGTCACCTCGATATAAAAAGAAAAAGCTGTTGTATTTGATCTTCAAGAGAACCATAAATTTATTAGAATTTCTCAGGCTGGAAATACTTTGATGTTACCAGATTGTTAATTTGACCTTGTGCTGCAAATCTTTAAGTTATCAAAGTCCTTAATTTTCTTGTCTTCTATAAATGACTAAAAAAGTGATTTGGGAATTAGAAATATTAAATTTAGATAAATGTAGTATGTCTTACTTTGGCTTTCCAGTGATCACATAATACAGTATATCATAGTAAATGTGTAGTCCAGTTTTCACATATATGGTAGCCTGTAGTTGTGGTTTTACTGTTAGAGTTTACCTGCTAGTTTGATCCCTTACAGTTTTTCTCTGAGGAAACTTAAACAGTTTTGAAAGCTTGACTCTTATTTCAAGTTAGTGGCGCTTTTAAAAAATATTTATATCAGTGTGTACTTTGTAAATTAAAAATAGTCCATAAAGTAATTAGCCTCCAACTAATAAAAATAAGTGAAAAAAACAGAAAAAAAAAAAGTCCAGATAGCACAGTAACATATAAATTGTCATTGTCGTCAAACCGCCGCCCCCCCCCCCCCCCCCCCCCGCCACCCCATTTCCCACACCCACCTCACAGCCTGGTACATATATCTTCCACAAAGTTACTACTTCATATTTTATCTGTTCAGTTACTCATTGGTTTTCTGCCTCTGGACGAGTGAGAGCAGAAACTCAGTCTGCTTGGTTAATTGCTGTAATAGGTGCTCAGTAAATAGTTAATTATTGAATGAATGAATACAGATTTTCATCTACAGTTTTGGAGAAAAATATGAGGTGAAGCCATAAAATATCTTCATTTCTTAGGAAACCAGTATTATTTAAATATCCAGTTTAATGGAATTTATTATATACGTATCAGTAAAGCACCTTCAGCTATATAGGAAGGCTCTTGGTGTGTAAAAATAGCTTTTTAATAAATAATAGTATTTATTAAAATCAGAGTCTCTATTAATATGTTCAGCTTTGTTGGATTGTGTTCATAGTTATCATTATGCATCCATTATTAAATGTTAGAAGAGAATAATGCTTTATAGAACTATGTAAGAGTCTTATTTTCCTGGTAAGATTTCATTTACCATTTATTATGTGTTACAGTCATCCAGGTGTTGACTTTATTTAGTAACACTGATGGCTATCTGTGTATTTTTCTTTGCCTAGATATGGTACTGGACAACATGATTGCCTCTGGCCAGTTGGACGAGTCCATCAGAGAGAATGTCAGAGAAGCCCTTCTAAAGAGGCACCACCATCAGAATGAGAAGAGGTTCACCAGCCGGATCCCCCTAGTTCGATCTTTTGCAGACATAGGCAAGAAACATTCTGACCCTCACTTGCTTGAAAGGAACGGTGAGATAAGTTGTGGTGTCCAATTTTTCTAACACTTTACTAACAGCATTCCAGCTTGTTACAGTTAGCATTTGGGAAAAGAAACTCATTTTTTCTAGATAATTACATAGGTCGTTTATCTTTTTGATTCTTTTTTCAAAAAATAATAGTAGTAGTTGTGCATTTAAATATTTCATTTCTGAAATGTCTTTATAATGTGGCAGAATTATCTATAGAAATTACTTAGATGAGAAAATTAATCATTTACTCTGTTAAAATGGGACACTGAAGTGTTGGTAATATTTAAACACTACCGGAGGCTTCCCTCATAGCTCAGTTGGTAAAGAATCTGCCTGCAGTGGAGGACACCCCGGTTCGATATCTGGGTCAGGAAGATCCGCTGGAGAAGGGATAGGCTACCCACTCCAGTATTCTTGGGCTTCCCTTGTGGCTCAGCTGGTAAAGAATCTGCCTGCAATGCGGGAGACCTGGGTTCAATCCCTGGGTTGGGAAGATCCCCTGGAGAAGGGAAAGGCTACCCACTCCAGTATTCTAGCCTAGAGAATTCCATGGACTGTATAGTCCATGGGGTCGCAAAGAGTCAGACATGACTGAGCGACTTTCGCTTTCACTTTCTTTCAGACACTACACTGTGCGTAACCCTAATTACTCTCCTCCTTGCTTTTCTGTTTCTGTTAAAAAATTCTTGTATGGTTGATATAAGAGCTGTAAATTGCTATCTATAAATTTAGTTTAATCTTTTGAAAATTCAGTCTTGTGTTTGGACCTTTAATATTAGATTTTTCCTAAGATTTTTTTTTCTTCTCCTGAGTAGACTATACTTGCTGGGCATAAACTGTATTTTGGAGCTGGTTTGCTTTTAATTTTCCCAGCGTTTTATTGACATAATCTGTAAAAGGTTTTTGTATTTTTTCCTGTTTTATGATGTCCTCGAGTCACGGAGAGTGGCACAGACCCCCGTCCACTCACTCACGGTTCAGCAGTGGGTCATGGGGAGCTGGGGAGACTGTTCGGGTAGCTGCTCCTCTCTGCCCCCGTCTTACAGCCGGCATGTGGTCACTGCGGCTCTGTTTGGGTCTCAAAGATGTCTCTGACAACAGTGACTCTGGAAAACCCAGCTGCAGAGAACCAGGGTTGATCTGAGGGTCACTGCTGCATCCAGCTGCTGCTGTTACCCAAGGCACTGAGGGTTACAGTGAGGAGTCGGGGTGGGCCGCAAACCTTCCCGCTCATCTTTCTATCTCTGCAGTGAGAGTGTGGCTCTTACGTGCTACAAGCACACTCACAGGTGGAGGACTAAACACATGTAAAGGTAACAGTACTCAGTCTCCTTCTGTGGCTCAGTCTAAGATAATTAAGTCCTTTTTCTTCTGAATATTTGATCATTGAAACTTTTTAATATATTTAAAACTGCCTTTCTGTATTCAAGGGACCTTAAGAATAAAAGAAATCTTTCATGGGCCTAAGTTGAGTTTGAAAGCAAGCCATTCGTGTCACCGCTTTTTTTCATCTTTCCGTGTATTGCATATTTTCTAGTTTAGTAAAGTGAACTCATTTGCCTAGAGAGACCACATTAAATCTTTCTCCTCTATACATAGTGGTTCCTGATTATCCTCCAGTTGTCAGTTGGTTCCTTTTAATCATAAGACATTGGCTATTTTCTTGTAGGTGCCATTTTAGCATGAGCATTCTTTTATTTTGGTGTATTACTATAGTTGTAATTTTAACAGTTTTTTTGCATCTAGCTTATTTTTTACCTAAATAGTGGTGGTTTATGAAATAATAGTTAATATGTGTAATATTTTGGGGATCTGTTTAGCATGTAGTTTTTATTACTTATATCAGTAGTCCCCCACCTTTTTGGCACCAGGGAACTGGCTTCATGGAAGACAATTTTTCCATGGACCAGGGTTGGGGAGGTGGTTGAGGATGCTTCTGAGATGATTCAGGCATGTTACATTTATTGGGTATCTTATTTCTATTATTACTATATCAGCTCTACCTCAGATCATCAGGCATTAGATTCCGGAGGTTCAGGACCCCTGACCCAGATCAGCTGGGATTGTTATATTTCTCATGCTTTTCCTAAAAAAAAAAAAAAATATTGTTCCACTAAGCTACTCTTCATTAGAATAACCTGGTGTTTGAACTATAAGTATACATGACCTTTTGAAATACTCTAGACTTCCTTATCATTGCTGTTGGTAAAAAATGTTTTATTCTTTGCTAGTTAAATTAAACATCGTATGTATTTGTTTTAATTTATCTGCTGCATTAGATGTGGAAACATATCTTAGGACATTTATTAATATCAGTTAGATAGTGAGCTCAAGAATATGTATCTTTTAAAACTGACATGTTTCTGTTTTGAAAAAAATTCAGATGACTTGCCTTATGTTTTTAAATTTTACTTTGAGAGTTCTGTCAGTGGATGCTGCCCTGTTGGCTGAATGTTATAAAGATTTGATACTAACTTTAAGTTAGGAGTCACTAGGTACTGTTAATGTGGGCTCTTCTTGTGAGAGAATACGTAGCAGTTTGGTCCAGTGTAGATAAAATACACTAAATATAAGCTCTCAGTGCTGGTAAGTTTTGTTTTGGCTTCTGTTTCTTAGATTATTTTTGTGTTATATTTTCATTTGCGGTTTATCGTTTTTTAAAGCAACAGCTTTGCATTGTCATTATTTTTTGTTTTTAAAGCCACACTGTTGGACATTCTCATTCCTAACAGAATATTGTCCCTCTCCATCTATCATTAACATTGTTTTTCATTTTTTGTTCTGAGTTTCGGATACACCTTCAGAGAACTAATTATAGTTTAAGCCATTTTTCAGTGATTTTTCTAATACTTAAAATTCAGATTGTCATACTAACTCTGACAGCATGAATTTGAAATTTTGGACCTTTTTTAAAGCTTGCAGTTTACAATGTAAGTAGATTTTTGTGTGTCTCTGTTGCCTTCTGCAATAAAACTTCATCACCTTTCATTTATTTGTTTTACCTCAGGGGAAGGCCTCTCAGCCTCCCGCCACTCTTTGCGAACAGGTCTGTCTGCCTCAAACCTTTCCTTGAGAGGAGAATCACCTTTGTCTCTTCTTGTCAGTCATCTTCTTCCTTCTTCGAGAGCCGGGACCCCTGCGGGCTCGAGGTGCACAAGCCCCGCGCCCACCCCTCAGAGCAGCCCTCCTTCCAGCCCTAGCCTCAGCCGCCTCCACGCCAGACCTTCCCGGCAGAGGCAGCCTCAGGCCCCAGAGCTCCTGGTGTCCGCTGCCAGTGCCGATATTCCCACAGTAGTAATCCATCCGCCCGAGGAAGACGTAGAAGCGCTGCAAGGCCAGGAGCAGAAGAGTGAGGAGAATGTTGACGTGACTGCAGGCAACTATCCAAAGTCCCCATGTGTGGTGCTTTCTGCCTCTGGACCCCTTGCACTTGGAATGCCTTTCAGCACATAGCTTAATCAGCATTATGTAGATGATGCTTACAATTTATTTTGACTTCTGCATGTTTTTTTTTTCTTTATAGTGTGTTATAGAAAAGGATAGAATTATTTTAAAATTTTAAGTTTTACAAAGATTTCAAAGGAGCCTACACATAATTTAAGCCCTTTCAAAATTTTTTACTGAGGTTTTACAGGTCAGTGCATTTGAATGGCTCAGACAAATGTAGACATTTTTACAGGTCATCTTTTAATTTGCCATGATTAAAAAAAAATGGTGGCTCTTCTTGTGCATTTCATTCCATCAAGTGAATGAACACATGCTTTACATAAAGTATAATGAGAAGCGTTTTATCTACTGTTTGGTGCTTTTGTGTAAGGGATGCAGTGTGTTTTCATCTTCCTGCCAAAGTAGAATGATGTTCTTTTTCTCATCTTTTCTCTGAGAGGATTGAGGTTCACTGTTGACTGCCTGGAGTCATCATTCCGACTAGTTTTATAATTTGGAGTAGACTTCAGTTGTCTTTTATTTAATGCTGTATCTATCTTTCATCTGAATTCACCTTGAAAGTTTTAAGAGTAGGGTTCCTATAGTTGCAAATAGGACTTATTTCTACATGAATTAGAAAAATTATGCCTTAGTGGATAAAAGGTTTGTAACTCACTTAAGGGTTATTATATTTCTATTTGATGAGTTTATCTTATCACTGTTTGTACGATGAAAAAAATTAAGACTTAGAGATGTTAAGGTTAGACCATAAATGACCAAAGGGATTTTTTTTTTCAGACAAAGGAATTGAGCCCAGAACTACCTATAACAAAATCTATACTATAGAATTTCATTGTAAATTTTAATACTTTGTGGAAAAGATGTATTATTAAACAAAATTGGGGAAAAGATACCTAGAAATAATTGCTCAGAACTAATGAACACTTTTACTTTTACTTCATTAAAAAAGACTAACAAAATTGACTTTTTTTCTTGAACAAAATTAACTTTGAAGTTACTTCCCCTTGCATTTGTTTTTACCTATATCTGTCAGTAATACTGACTGTTTCTTGTTTTACCAGCTTCAGTCTAATTAATGATAAGAGACTATAAGCTTTGTATGGGAAGAAAGGGGCATACAGGTTCCCAGTGACTTATTAGGTCATGTTAAGAGGATAAAAAGAGCAATTAACTGAAAATTGAGGGACACAATTAAATTTTTCCTCCCTCTGCTGTTAAGGGTGCCATGGGATTTACTCGCGTTTTGGAAGAGAAGAAACTAGAGTGTAGGGGAGAGGATTTCTGAGGACAAGGGAGAGCTCATAATTGCTGTCGAAGATGGCATTGTAGAAGGAATGTAGTCACAGTGACAGGGACAGCTCTTCATTAGTCCCCGCTGTCTAGACCACCTGGAAACCCTGCTGTCTTTTCCTGAAGTCTGGTCAAGAAGGTGGCCTCATCATCATTTCTGAGAGACCAGTGCCAGAGATTCTTTGTGTCATGAGGTCACAATTTGTGAATACCTGTAGGAAAGGAAAACGAAAAGGAAAGCAGTGTTTGCCATCAGTTATTTTTTAGAGAATACTTAGGTAAAGGACATAACTCACTTTGAGTGTGTGTGACTGTCTTCTGACTCGGTGTTTCTTACCCTCGGCACTACTGGCCTTTTGGGGGGACAGTTCTGTGTGGTCGGGTGTCTTGTGCATTGTCAGCTATTGAGCAGCACCCTCGGCCCGCAGCCACCGCCTGCCAGCACATTCATAGCCTTCCATGGATGGGAACTACTGCTCTGGACACTTCTGCTGTCAAATCTTTAGTGACAGGAAGCTTCGATGTCTTTGTTTAATTTTTCTAGGTAGATATGCTATTTTGAGGGAAAAAAATGAAAGGGCAAAATAATAGATTTACCAGAGTATGACTTAAATCCCAGGATTGATTTTATACATACTCATATTTGCTTTTTCTTTTGCTTAAAGCAAGTAACTAAAGTCCTTCCAAGTTATCTGTGCTCATTATAGTTTTAATTTAGGGGAATTGACTCATTTAATTCTGAGCACTAGGAATTTACTGCAGGAGCAAGGACATTTCCTTTACCTTTTCAGGATATAGCTTTAACTTAGCTGACATCAGGGAAGACTGCATGGAGAAGGCGGTGGTGGGAAACTAAGTGTGCCTGGCCTGCCCGCCGTAACACGTTCAGGGTGAGCAGGTGAACCCCTGGCTTCCTCGCGCCCTCTCTTTTGACTTTGTCAGTGTTGAGTTGCAGGTCGTTTCTTCTTCCAATTCCTGTTGAGCCTTCTCCACATCCCATTCTTCTCCCTCACATGTGGTGGCTAGGACTATTCTGAGAAACTGTGTCTTTTTTCTTTGGTTACACGTCTGCAGGTTGGATGCAATTTGTAGTTAGCAGCGTGTGTGTGTTGATGGTCACTTGTAGTTGCTGCCAGGGCCTTAAATGATACTCTTCATATTCTTGTGTGGGAGTTGGTGGAAACCACTGAAAAATAACTGCTTAACTTTTTCTTCTTACACTTGAGCATGTATTTTAATAGAGGAATGGATTCTATTATGGAAGTTTAGGGACAAAGGTCAAAGAGACTAAAATGAGTTCAGTTTAGGGAACAGTTTTTATTTCAGAATTGTTTACAATTTCTTGGCAGTGGGTATATGGCTAAGTGGACTGCATATACTTTCTTTACTGAGATTTAGGGTCACAGTGGCATCCTGGCGTAGGTGTTTAACAGAGTGTCATGAAGGTCTTCATTCACTGAATTTAAGCTGTAAACTCAAATGACTTAGTTTCAGGTTACTAGTTAGTATATGTTGTATTCTATAAAAACAAAAATGCATAGACTATATCTGATATGCTTAAAATTTTAAAATTTAATTGCCATTGTTTGAAGTTTATGGGTTCTAACCACAAACAATGTAGTGGTGAATTTCTGGGGGTCACTAGGTTGTTGTGAGTGGCAGAGTAAAAACTAGAAGTAAAGTCTGTTGCAGTTGTCTGGTGCATTTTCTCCTGTGATATTCAGTGTTTTGGGTGATATTAATCTATATTCTTGAACTAGAAAGCCTTGGGTGTTTTGAAAAAATTAGGTACACTTAATGGTAGAAATCTGTGTTACATACTCTAAAGTTTTTGTAACATTTGAACTTTTTGCGAATACATAGTAGTAATGATTAGTAATATGCTGTTGGGTGATTTTAGGTTATTTTTGTGTGTGACTTGTTGCTGCTGAGTTTTGCTTGAACTAAGTATACCGTGCATGAACATGTGTCTATCACTTGTAATCCAGACAAGTTAATTTAATAGAATGTATATCATTTCTAATCCAAACAAACAAATTTTATAAGTTTGTCTGTGTCTTAGAAGTTGAGTGAGTTACTTAAGGTCATACACATAGCTACAAAGTGGCAAAGAGTACTTATTTTAACATAGATCCGTTCCCTTATAAGTTCTGTATTCTTTGTATTTATATCATAAAAACATTGCTATTGTATTTTAGCATAGTCCTTATGAATAATGACAGTAGACAGCACATGAATTTTACCCAAGAGAGGTGAAAATTCATGAGGAAACTAATTATGAAGGATTATGGCAAAATGAGTGTATAGTTCATTGATGTAGCTCTTGCGTTTTCATTTAGGGTTTATCAGAAATTTTACATTGTTACTGATGTAAGTGTGCTAAGAAGCAGTTAGGCATCTTTAAGCTCTGCAGTTCATGTGTCTAAGGATACAGTGAAAGTGGATGTGCTAAGTATTTATAGTGGTGATCAGACCCAGGTCTTCCACCTTCTACTCACTTTTTTTCTTTTTGCAAAAGGCCACCATTTTTGTAAATGCCAATTATGTTATTTTAAATGTTAACATGTATAGCTTCATTATTGCTTAAAATGTTATCCCACTCTTGCTGGTATGGTACTAACACTTGGCACTTTTTTTTTTTTTTTACCTAGCACATTTGCTTTCAGTAAACCCATCACTTTCAGGATATGAGCAAATTCAGGTTGCAAAGTGAATTTTCTTCTTACTACTTTGGAAATTGTTTGTTCTTAAATACAGGTATTTTGGCCTCTCCACAGTCTGCACCTGGAAACTTGGACAATAGTAAAGGTGGAGAAATTAAAGGTAATGGAAGTGGAGGAAGCAGAGAAAATAGTACTGTTGACTTCAGCAAGGTAATTTCTGTTATAAACTATACATTTTCATAATCATGCTTACTGAGACAAGTGCTAGCAATGTGACTATATTAACAGTGATTATAGTAATTTTTAATAACTGGTGCTTGTAAACCTGATGTGATGCTTGTGATGTTAATTTAAGATCAGAAATTGTGAAAAAGGTAACAGTCTCATAGCACTTGAATAATGTTATATCTTACTAGTGTTAGAAATCCTGACAAAAGAATATGGGGATAATACAGTTTTTTCATCTATACCCATGCATAGATATCATGAACTGCAGGCATTTGTTGTGGAGCTGCCACTACTAGAAAGGTTAATTCTGGGAGTGATGTTACAGCAGTAACAATTCAGCCTCTTCTCGGCTGTAATGTGACCCCAGAATTACTGTCTTGTGGTGTCAGTGCTTTCTGGAATGTAACTGGGAAACATCGGTGCTTCCCCATGGATAGGTAAAGGTAAAGACGTGAATTGAAAAATAACTCACCTATCTCAACTGATTGTTAATTTTCATAGGTGAGTGTTAAATGAAATGTAAAAAAGAGCTTATTTCAAAAGAACAAAGCAAAAAACTGCAAATTCAAATTACAGTTGAATTTAAAGCATGCTTTTGAGTACTATCTCTGAATAATTGATTCTTGATATCCATTGTAATTTTTTTGATGGTTTTTGATGGTATTTACTATAGGATACAATGTCAGACTTCTAATTAAATGCCATTATTTCAAGTTAATTTCAATTTTTAAGCCTTTATGATGTGAAGTCTATGAATCATGGTTTGTAGAAAAGGCACTTAAATGATGATTTGCGTTATAGCCTTGCTGAGCTTCATGCTCTAAAGTTAAAAGCCTTGCATTTGGGACATTGTACTGTTGTTCTGTTGTAAGTTGATCATATTCTTACTGGTGCCGCAGTTATTTCAGATGAGTGTCAGGTTTTCAGGACGGAGTCTGTGGACAGATTTTGCTGTAATTTCTGCCACAGATCTCCTCTACGTGGCAGGTGCCATTTGGTTTGCTCCCCTGACACAGCTGTGCTTTCTTTCACTTGGTCTATCTGTGCACACCCGCGTATCCCGTCGGGCAGGAGTCTGCCTCCTGGCACTGTAGTTGTGGCACGCTGGGTGTGGGACTCGAGAGGCCCGCCGTAAGTGCTGCTTTTATGTTCCTAGAAGCCCTGCTAGTGGTTGTTCAGTGACTGTGTGAAGCTGCATACAAACGAAGAAGTTGCCGTACTTTGAATTATGTCCATAACCTTTTCTTTGTAATTATACACAGACAACCTAATTCGCTTAGACAGCACTACCATATATGTATACCAATTATGACTACTTTAGTTGTAAATGAAAATAAAAACAATGTTTCCCTCTTACTGAAAATACTGGGGAATGCCTGTAGCTCATTAAAGTAAAAAAAGGATTTATAAAGTACATAAAATATAAAGGAACGAATTCATGTCTAAGATTAAACAATAGATCATGACTAAATGAATATTTTTAGAACTGTGTATAATTTCATGGACCATTGTTAGTTTGTGAGCTATATTTTTGTCTTCAGTAGTTTTTTAATGAATGGTGCTATATATTCATTGAACCTTTCCTCTAGTTTGTTTGGTAATTTAGATCTCTGCAGTAGTGAAGATCATGACAGTAAACTAATTGGGAGTACGGTTTGGTAGCTGTGTTTTGCTTGCACTTTGTATTCGTCAACTTCATTCTTTGTACTTGTGAGAATTTTGACACTTAAACATCCTTTAGATCACCAGTTTTGATTAGCGAATAGTAGTCTTAAAGCATCTTTTTCCTGTTTCCTTCTAGTCTGACTAGTACCATGCACACTTTATTTTTAATTACTATTTATTTGTCAATAGGTTGATATGAATTTCATGAGAAAAATTCCTTCAGGAGCGGAGGCATCCAATGTTCTGGTGGGAGAGGTGGATTTTTTAGAAAGACCTATAATTGCGTTTGTGAGACTGGCTCCCGCTGTTCTTCTCTCAGGGCTAACCGAAGTCCCCGTCCCTACAAGGTAAGGGAGGGTTATTTGCAGTTAACGTTCTTCCAGAATGTCCAGAATCTAGAGGAACATGTCGCTTTATGTAGTGAAAGCTGCTTCTAACGGTTAATGGTGTCATTTTCCCAGTGCCTTGACTATTAGAGCGTTAAAGATTTACCTTTCTTTCTGGAACTAAAAAAAAAGCTTCCTTTAAAAAGTACATTGCATTTATGCTGTTATAAGAAAAGTTCTGTTCATAGTATGTTCTGTGCAGGCACTGAAGTCAGAGAGGATGGAGTTGAGTCCTTGCTCGGCTGCTTTTTTGGGACGGTCAAGCCAGGCTTCTGCTTTACTTGTAAAGTGAGGGTAACAGTACCTCAGGGTTGATTAAATGTAATAATGCCCCTGAATTAGGCAGAATGCTTTGTTCTGACCTGATCCAATCTTCTGTTCAACATACATTAAGAATAATTAGCAAGTTGTGTTATTAATATAAAGTGTGATCAGTTAGCTACTGATTATATGAACTTAATTACAAATGAGAATAATTAAGAATATATTTTTATAATAATAAATATGAAGAATTAATTACAGCCTGTTTGAAACGTACATACTAGTTTTTAATAAGCTTTCCTGAGTTGCATTAATGGTACAGTACTGAGATAAATGAGAAAGATAATTCATAGATTCACATTTAAATTCTTACAAAGCAGGAAGATGAATACTTCCAGTTTGGATAAGTATGAATATCAATATTTTACTGTATGTTAATAACAATATAAGTAGGAAGTTAAATAATTTTTATTTGGGTTTCCCTAGTAGTTCAGTTTGTAAAAAAAAAAAAAAGCTGCCTGCAATGCAGGAGACCCTGGGTTGATTTCTGGGTCAGGAAGATCCTTTGGAGATGGGATAGGCAATAAGAGGTTGTTAAACAATAAGAGGCTTTTAAATAATAAGAGTTGTAAATAAAATGCTTTTACTTCCAAAAGGGTTAGTCCTTTATTTTCCCCTATAGTATCTTTATCCAGACTGTAGTTTGAGGGACCATGAATTTCTTCTGAATACTCATCTATTTTCTTAAGCCAAAGTAAGTACTTAATTGGATTGGTATTCACTTTATTTACTAATTTACTTCTTTTCATCAGTACAGATCAGAAAAAGTTGTTTACTCAAAATTCAAAAGGATATAGAAGATGGGAAACACCATCTTTAATGTAAAACACTGATTCCTTAAGTACTTTTTACTCTAAGAAAGATGGAACTTAATTATGAATGCCGTTTTTTAAGTTTTGTGATTCATCTGAATAGAGTTGCCAACCTTTTTGCAGCCAATAGGATGTGAGGATGAAAAGGAGGTCTGAGTAATGTTTCTGTGTTTACATTTGTATGATTTCTTTATGATTCTTAGATTTATGTCTGTTGTTCATGTTTAAATCTCTCTGTTTTAATGTTCCCTTAGGTTTTTGTTTCTGTTACTGGGGCCTGCAGGCAAGGCTCCACAGTATCACGAAATTGGAAGATCAATAGCCACCCTCATGACAGATGAAGTAAGGAACACGCCCCTTGATCTGAAGCATACAATGCATATTAAATTATAGACTCTCTTACCATCTTTGGTGATTTTAAAGTGTATTTTATGGGTCTTTCTCTTATAGTATTTTCCTCTGTGCTATCAGTAATATGCAGATTTGAATAAATCATCTCCTTGATTTAGATGTATCAATGACATGCCTGTTGGATACTTGTTTAAGCTCTTCGCTGTTGCCTTGATAGAGCCTGCCTAGTCCAGTCTCTGTGCTTTTTGAAATTTATATGCTGTGACGGACCCCCTTTCTCTATTGCTTGCTCCATCCGCTTCGCCGTCCTTTCTGCACCTCGGATGTACGATGCTCACTGCCGCCTCTGGACACTGAGCACTTCCTTGGCCTGAGCGCTGTCTCCACCCCTCACCCCACCCTGTATGTGCTCTGTCCCCCATCTCAGTCAGATTGCTCCTGCAGTGTTTCCTCCTCTAAGACACCTTCCGCAGCCACCCTGTTCCCCCGCATCAGTTGCCCTTCCTTACCCTGCTTCATTTTCATAGGAGTTCTTGTTATCCTCTGCGGTAGTAGATTCACGTGATTACCCCGAGTCTTGAGTGCAGGGACTCTGACTTACCCGTGTCGTGCCTGCCAGAACTTCCCTGGGGGCTCAGTGGTAAAGAATCCGCCTGCCAGTGCAGGAGACCTGGGTTCGTTCATCCCTGGTCCGGGGAGACCCCATGTGCTGTGGAGCCACTCTGCTCCGACTCCTGACTGAGCTTGGGCCCTGGAGCTGGGAGCTGAGCTGAGCCCGTGGGCCCGAACCACTGAAGCCTGCACCCCGCAGATGGGGAGTAGCCCTGCTTAGCACAGCTAGAGAAAAGCCTGTGCCGCAGTGAAGACCCAGCCCAGCCAAAAATAGAACACAGAAAAAGAAAAGAATGGTACCTACCAAACAGTAGGCACCCAGTCAGTAGGAACGATCAAATTAATTAACTATTTTAAGTAAAATTGTTAGCATACTCATTATTTCTTTAGGATAAATGACATTAAAATGTTATTTCCCAAGTAAAATTTTCTCTTTCTAAAAATTGTTGTGTATTAACACATCACTGGTTTCTTTTGTTGTTTGGTTTTTACTGTTAATGTATCTGATAATACTAATAGTGCATTATTTTTTAAAGTTGTTATCGAAGGTGGGGTCGAGAGTTTAGGTAATTATCTTTATGTAGACTTTGTTATGATATCGAAAGTGGATTACTATGTATGGAATTTTCTTTCAACTTTAAAATCCTTTTACTCAATGTGTTTATTTTTCTTTAGATTTTTCATGATGTAGCTTATAAAGCAAAAGACAGAAATGACCTCTTATCTGGAATTGATGAATTTTTAGATCAAGTGACCGTCCTACCTCCAGGAGAGTGGGACCCTTCCATACGCATAGAGCCGCCAAAGAGTGTTCCATCTCAGGTGAGGATCTACACAGTGCTTCTTTGAGTTCCCTTTTTCAAGTAGTTTATACATTTTCAAAACTCAAAACCGTATGAAGAGCTATTTGCTCTTAGTTTTTTGTTATTCTTCCACTTTTTATTCAGTACAGGGAAACATGAACATGTAGTCTTGTTTTCTCCTCTTTCTTACCAGACGTGAACATCCTATATATAGTGATCTGCACCTTGCCTTTTTCATGTAACAGTATTTCCTGCAGGTGTGATGATAAGAGATGGCAGAAGTAGTCCTCCTCCTCCTCGCAGCTCTGTTGTATTCCTGCATGGACGCGCTGTAGTCTGTCCTATCCTGGTGCAGCTTGTCTCCCGTTTTTAGCTGTTACAGACCACATCATGGTGTTCGCCTGCCATGTTAGTCTTGTGCAGATGTGTCTGTAGGATAGATTCCCAGGAATAAGATTACTGGCTTACATGGGAGTTTACCTACAGTTTTAGGAAATGTTGCCAGAGTCTCCTCTTCTTGGGTTAACCGTTTTGGACTCATTTTGGTGATGAAAGAGAATGCCTGTTTCCCTACAGCCTCACCAGCATGGTGTGTTGTCAAACTTTTGGATATTTGTCAGTCTGATACGTTATCATTATCTTACTGTATTTGGCATTTTAATGTGATTTTAATTTGTATTTCTGTAATTAGTGAAGTTGAGTATTCCTGAGTATTTTTTGTTCATCACCCTCCACCAACTTTTTTTTAACATTTAAATTATTCACTGATCCTTTTGTGTTTATCATGATGTACTATGTAGAGAATGCATGCAGTTTATCTTTTTTCTAAATTGTAGTCTGTTTGTCCCAGTTTATTAAAAAGTTAGGCATTTTTCTGTTTGCTTGGTGATGTTGTCTTTACCATTTACTAAATTTCCATATTCATTCAGGTCTGTTTCTGGGATTTCTTTTCCATTGATTGGTCTAGGCACGGAGCACTTACACACTTTAATTTCTGAAAGTCTTTGATATATTTTAATATCTGGTAGATCTGCATTCATTCTTGACCTCACTATTGTTTTTCTGAATTTTCTTGGTCGTCTTTGCATATTTATTTTCGTATTAGTTTTAAAATCAGCTTTCTATTTACAGAAATAAAATGTGATTTTAAAAAAATTGTGATGGAAATTAAATTTCTAAATGAACTGAGGGAAAGTTGGAATCTTTTCAAGAACATGGTATATCTTTCCCCAGTTGTTTTCCTGACTGTTTTCAAGTCAGTTTTTGTGTCCTTAAGGAATATTATAAAATTCTCCTTATGTGCACCTTATACTCCTCTTGGTGAGTGTATTCGTTAAGTATTTTATCTTTGTTTCTGTTATAAATGAGGTCTTTGTTCCATTATATTGTCTGTTGCTTTTATATATGTGTGTATATATATATATGACGACTATTGGTCATTGTATATTTCTTTTGTATCCTGCTGCCTTCCTTAATTCTTTTATTGTATATAGTCATGTGGTCTCCAATAAAAGATAATATTATTCATTTTCTAGCTCTTACACCTTTAACATGTTTTCTCTTATCTAATGGTATTGACTAAAATCTCTAATAGTTTTACATAGTAGTCCACTTTAAAGGGCATTTCTTAATTTTTTCATAATTGTAGTCAAAGTCTTTATTGTTTCTCTCATTAACTTACTATCATTGATGCCAAAATACATATTTTATCATATTAAGAAAATACCCTGTTTTCTGTTTTATTGAATTTTTTAATATAAGTGAATGTTGAATTTTGTCAAAGGGCTTTTTAGCATTTCTGGGGATGATATATGAATTTTACTTACCAGTTATTATGGTAAATCCTATTAATAGTTCCTTTAATTTGAAGACACTCTTGCATTGTTGGAATAACCCAGCTTAGGCTTTAAAGTGTCTGTAGTCTTTTTCTAATGTTTTATTTAAGTTGCTTCCATCTCCATTTGTAAGTAGATTGGTCTATAGATTTTTGTGAAGTCTTTATATTTTGGTATCATCATCAAACTTGGTTCATAAAAACAGATTTGTAAGTTTTCCTTTTTCTGTGCTCGTTAAACTTTAAGTGGCTTGGAATACTTTGATTCTGAAAGTTTGGAAGATTTTTTAGTAGAATTTTCTAAGCTTGACTCTTGTATGGTAGACTTCAACAGCTTGTTATTTCTTCTGTGGAAATTGGTTTGTGTAAATGTTCTCTTTTTTCTGGAGTCAGATTTGGTAAGTTATATTTTCCTGTTTTTTGGTGTCAATTTTGGGGAATTTTTTAAAAGTATAGTACACATTTTATCAAGATTTTTCATTCAGTTACACAGGGTTGTGCTGTGTAGTGTCTCTCCCTCTCACTGTATATTTATATATAAGTAAAATTTGTGACTTTCCTTGTCATATCTTTGGTTGTATATTAGCTGATGATTTAATCATGTTTTTCTAATAGAGCAACTTCATTATTTATTTCAGTTCTCCTTTTTAAAAAAGTATATTGTGTTGTGTAACTCAGCTTCTGCATTTAGCTGTATTCCTTTCACTTTCCTTCAGGAAAGATTTTTTTTCACATTTGGTGAATTAAATACTCAATATGTTTATTTTTGTCCTTTCATTTTTCTTAATATAAGAGCTGCTTTGTTTTCTTGAATGATGCTTTTGCTATATCCCATCAAATGTGATACATAGTATTTTCGTTAGATGCCTTTTGTGGGAGTTCAGTAATTTTGTTTTCTCTTTCCTCTTTGAGCTGTGATATAAGTTAGTTTCACTCTTGACATTTTCAAATGGTAGTCTTAGGACTATAGGCAAGTGGTGCTACTTTTTAAATACTGAGCATGTGCCCCGGGAGTTCACTGCTGTGGTTAATCTGGGGTCCCCCTGGGATGAACACCCCCAGCCCATGTTTCTCTTTCTCCCCACTGCTCTTCTTTCCTCTCTGTCTCCCTTCTCTCTCCCCCTGTTGCTCTATTCCCACTCCACCTCTCCCGCAACCCACTTTTTTTTTGGTCCAGTAACCTCTAACCTTTGGAGGTAACAAAACTTGCTCCCTGAGGAGGAGAGTATCTTTTATCATGAGAATAGTACTCTTGAATTTGTATTAAAACATAATAGGGAGTTGATTTTTATGAAAATTTATTTGATGACTCATGCTACTTACATCTTAAGGGAAGTATTTAATAAGAAAAAATGGAATTTCCTTTTTTTCTTAATGTAAAGTATAAAGTATATTTTTTCAATAGTGAACATGAATAAGGATTTAAAATTCTAGCTGAAGAGATGTTTTATTGGATTTTTATATTCCTGTTGCTGAGTAGTAATTTGAAATGATGTGTGTGAGTGTTCTATAGTATATTTGATGTCAGATTATAAAATAGAAAAAGCCAGTATAAATTTGAAATATTAACAGAGACAAATTTTAGATTCTATTTCAAAGTGCAGTGTCTTTAAAGTGGAAGTTCATACTAGGAAGCATTTTTTTTTCGAGGAGTACTGGTTAGACGTATAATCAGTGGGACAGCTCATGTTCTCTTTAACGGAGATGCTATTTTGGCTTCCTTAAAACAGAATTCTGAAAGATGTGAGTGTGTTGTTTTTTTTCTTTTTCTTTCCTTTTTTTCCTTTTTTTTTTTTGTGAAATGCAGGAAAAGAGAAAGATTCCTGTATTTCCCAATGGATCTGCCCCCAGCTCGGGTGACGCCCCGAAGGAGGCAGCGCACCACGCGGGGCCCGAGCTCCAGAGGACTGGACGGTGGGTACAGACTCTGCTTCCGTGCGGGCGTTTCTTGGGGGCTAGAAACTGATGTGATGGAAAAAGCAGAAATATGCTTTTTCTTTGCAAGTGTTTGGAAACTAATTTTGTCTAGTATTTTTCCATATTTTAAAAAATGTGTATTGTTTTCATAGGTATATAATGTTAAGGATAATTAATATGTATTTTAAAATAGCTTACTAGAATATATTGTATTCTGTATACTAGGATTTAATTTAAAACAAAAACATTATGCAGCATATGTTAAGAATATTATAGTTCTGTAGGAGGTTAGCTTAATTGGCTGTACAAAAGATTTCTTGAGGAAAGTGTGGCGTCCTATCGCCATTCTCATAGGCAGTCAGAACAATGGGAACAGGGAGGAACTGTAGCCGTTGTGTTGTGTGTATGCAGAGATGTAAAACTCTTCCGTGAACAGCGTATCATGAGATAATGTAAAATCAGGCAGACAAGCATATAATCTCTGGAAACCTGGTTAGAAAAATTATTGCAGAAGTTAATTCTTGGAATAAAAAAATAGAAATATTGCCAGGTACAAACAGTGTCTTAGAATTTTTGTAGAGATAGAAAAATATCATGGTATTGTCATTGTAGAGAAGCAAGCGTGTGAATAGTGATACTGTTTGCCCATTGGTGCTCTCTATGAGCTAAAGATCTTGAATCTTAAATGGTAGTAGTCTCTGAATTATACTAGAGTAAGCCTCTGCCCCCATGCGAAAGGTGTTCGTTTGAGTTATTATTCTTCAAACTGAGGTAGGGTTAGTCACTAAGAAGTACAAAGCCAGGCTCCTACTATCATGTTACCTGAGAATCTCATATAAATTTTTGACTTGATGATATAGTTTCATTAACTAGATTATCACTGGCACTATTTTTATTGCAAGTTGGCACCCTTTCCTTTATAGATTTTTTAGTCCCATTGCTGTCATATTATTTATAGGATAACTTATTCCAGCTGTCAGTGTACGTTTAGGTTTATTTCAGTATTAACTTTGGAAAAAACTAGAATGGTAAAGTTTGAAACATCTAGAGCAAGAGTCCCCAACCCCGGCACTGGTCCATGGCCTGTGAGGAGCCAGGCCTCAGAGCAGGGGGAGCAGTGGGTTTACAGCTGCTCCCCATCACTCACATCCTCCCAGTCTGTGGAAAAATTGTGTTTCATGAAACTGGTCCCTGGTGCCAGTTAGGTTGAGGAATGCTGATCTAAAGCTTTTCAAAGCATGAGATTAACCTTTTTGATGTATTTTGAAAGCATATTAAATTTTTTGGTGTATTTTTCTGCAGTAGGGATTTAAATGATTATATATTTTATAAGTTGCACAATCTTTTTGAATTACTGGTTTGTCACCAGTATTTATTGAGTTTCTACTGCTCCCCAGGCAGTGTTCTAAACCCTGGAGAGAGTAGCAGTGGATAAGACAAGGTTCCTGCTCCTCACAGAGCTTGTTTTGTAGTGGAGTGCTTTCAGGTCAGGTGTATCCAAAAGTCTGACTGAAGAAACAGTGAAATGAGAAGGATTTGATGCACAAATATGGACTTAAATTTACTAATTAAAACATCTTTTTATTACTATACACACTGGTTTGACTACATACACAGCAAATTACATACACTGAAACAGTTTTTAGACTTTTTTCTAGACCAGAAATATTTATGTGTTTGGAGTATTAATTTTAGAAGTAAAATTATTTAATTCACTACTGAGTGAACCTAAGCACAGGTACTTACTAAACGGCGTTTGGGGACTTATGATTTATATTATAATTGCATTCCTGGTATTTCTCACACTTGCCTTTAAGATTTATAATGTAGATAATGATTAATAGCATTGCTTGCACACATTTTCATAAATGGGTTGTTAGGTTTTATTTATTTTTATTGTATGTTTCCTTGCACATTTGTGTTTGATATTGCATTTACTTATATAAGTCTTTTGCCTGTAGTCTTTTCAGCATATAGTCCGTAAGATATAGATGTTTGTGTCTCTTTTAATTTAGTGAGATCTACCTTTCCGCTGTCAGTGGATTAGATTAAATGAGTGTGTCTTCTAAAATTTATACCATTATTTAAATAGGATATTATTTTTGTTGACAAATGCTAGGCGCCAGCAGTTTTATGTAGCCCATAGTTTTAGTGTGAACAGCCAGAATCCTCTAGTGTACAGTTTGACGAGTTTCATCTCACCTATTTAGGCTTTTTGGTGGTTTGATACTTGACATCAAAAGGAAAGCACCTTTTTTCTTGAGTGACTTCAAGGATGCATTAAGTCTGCAGTGCCTGGCCTCGATTCTTTTCCTATACTGTGCCTGTATGTCTCCTGTAATCACTTTTGGAGGGCTGCTTGGAGAAGCTACAGAAGGCAGAATAGTGAGTACAAAGATTGGTAGTGGCCAGGCTCTTAGCTCCTCAGAGGCAAGTGTCTGTGTGCATTTGTCTCACTATTCCTACTTTTATTTGAAGAGTCTCCCCACAGCATGATTAACCCATCCCAAAGCAGACTTCCCCCAAAGGTAATTGCTGTGGAAAACATGGGGAAGCCATTTGAACAGGAGAAGATGCACAGTTGAGGTAAAAAAAAAGAAAAGTTTTTCATGGCTTGCTGGATGAATGGTTTTATCAATTGAGTAAAAGGCTTGTATTGTCTCTTTGGGGGGAGTGGGTGGGGGGGATCAGATGAACTGAACTCGTCCCGGTGGGTCGTGGGTGGGGGAGTTTATTGGGGGCGGGGGGTGGGTGCTCTGTGTCCTTCAGGGCATCATAGGACTAGTTAGAGCCACGTGATGACCAGTAATCCATCTGCCCTGGCAGGTCCACCAGGCAGGCCGTTGGGAAGAAGGGAGCACAATTGTGGACAATGATGGATTTTGAAGTGGTGTTTACTTTAATTTTGCTGTTACTAAACGTGTGAAAGTTGTCAAAGTGTTAACTGGAAAGTATAACTGAAAACTACATCTGTGTATTGACATGACTAGAATGAAAGCTTTTATGTTTTGTTCTGGGTAATACCATACTGGGCTGTGGTTACAGAGCAGCATCTGGTGCTTCGTGAAATTGAGAAAGTGTTTTTGTTGCTGTTTATATACATTTTAATGGCATTTAAGTGAGACAGTTAGTGATTCCTAAGTGTATTTTGTTTAATGATATTTTCTCTTTGGAGAAAGTTTATTTTTTATAGATCTTAAGGTTTTTAAAAACCAACCAAACCTAAAGTAGTAATAATTGCTTAATTAAAGTATTTCATAAGCTGAGCATGAGGTAAACCTGACAACTGAAATTTCCTTTCAACTCAGTTTATTTTCGGTTATTTAGATTCATTTATATTACTCTTTTATGTTATTATATCAGAGGTATATATTTTTAGTAAGCTGCTTAAAGCAGCTGTCACAAGCTGTATGGTGTATCTCTGCTGGTCCCCAAGGAGGTGTGTCTTGTCTGTTACCGTCATGGAAGTTCTGCTTCTTCCTCTTGGACTGTCACTCACTGCCTCCCCATCTCATCCTGCTCTTAGTACCCTGTGCGTGTGATAGCGCTTTAGATGTTGGAGGAGTGCGGACACGGGTGAGACGCGGACGTGTGTCTTCCCTCCTTGGGGTCCTAACCGATAAGAAGAAGAGACAGTGTATATGCAGTCCCTATGTCATGCTGTGCTGGGCAGCACGCAAGTGAGATGAAGGAAGAGCTGCAGGAGCTTTAATCATAGAAGCAGAGAAGTCAGAAGGGTTATGGAGGGACGTGATACGGAGATGCTGTGTTTATTTTCAGGTGCTTTATTGGAACTTCAGGTAAAAGTGGAGACATTAGGAAGTGTGGATCCAGAGTTTCTAGAGTGGTAGGAAAGAAATACAGAGTGGGAAGGTGAGATAGATGAGGTTAGCACTTTAAAGGAAGAGGAGAAGGGGGAAGTTATCCCCATTTGTGGATGGGAAGAAGGAGGGGAGTTAGGAGGAAGTGGCCCAGCAGATTAGACAGGGGCACAGCAGAGCTTTGAGCCAGAGATCAGGATGGTTTAACTTTGCAGAAACCAAATCAGAGGTCGAGAAGGAGGTGACTTGAGCAGGGACCGCCCCGCGCCCTGCAGTAGGGGGTGAGGGGGTGACGAGGGGAGGCTTCTGCTGGGTGATGACTTGGAGACTGAAAGTGGGTTGGGGGAGGCAGCACAGTGGGGCTGTGATTTCTTCAGGGAAGGATGGGTTTCACTTTGGCAAAGAACATAGAAGTGGCTTAAAACTTGGGAAAAGGTGGATCTGGGTAGAGGAACTAGTGAATGTGGCAGTGAGGGGAACAGTAAGGAAGGACTCCACCAGGCAGAGTCTGCTTTTTCCGCACAGCACTTGGGGGGGAGTTCATTCTGTGCCTGGCAGCATCTCCACACCTGCTACCCCTTACCAACCCCCTCCCCACCCCCCCATTAGCATTTCTTTATTTGCCATCTCCTTGTTTCTGTTTCTCTGCTTTCTGTTTCTCGATGACGTTTAGAAAATTTTTTCCCTTTGATTTGAGCTCTGAATTCATTCCTAAATATACAGACTGTAATTGAACCAAGGATTTTATAACAGCTTAGCAAGCAGTGTCTTCCAGGACAGTCTTTTTTGTCTGTGGGCAAGAAAACACGTTTATCTCGTACAATTCATAAATACATTGTTAACATGAACTCGTCCTCATTTTGCCAAAAGTGAAGTCTGTATATGGGTTTGATCCTGTTTTTATACTGAGAGTTGAATGTCTCATTTACGACATAACTGTCTCTGCTGTGAGTGATTCTGACACGCTGTTAGTACTGATGTTGAGAGCGTCCCGTCTGCCAGACAGCGTTCCTGCTGGTGTTTGCAGAAACACTGCTCCATTAAGCTCTCCTGGCTCTCATCTCCCGCATTCAGAGGTGAGGAAAGTTGGGCTGGATGAGCTGGAGACGTGGCTGTGGCTCAGCAGCTCACAGCTCGCAGGAGGTGGTCTCCTTCCTCCGATCTGCTCCCCTGGAGCCCTGATCTCTACCCGCTGCTTGCTGCCTCCAGGCCCAGGAGGACTGTCTCTCTACAAGCGCCTTCTCTTTGCTTTACTGATGTTAGGCTTTCCCTTTCCTGGTCGTGTATTCCCGTTGACCTTGATGTTTGTGAATGGAAACTGTTTTCTTTCTGCCCCCACCTCCCTGTCTAGTGGCAGAGTCTATACACCTTCCCAACTGATCCCCTAGTCAGTTAGGGTGTGACATTGGTGGTGAAATAAAACTGGCCTACTAGCTTTCAAGAATTTTCTGAGTCTTTCATTTTATCATTTTAACCCAACTTTAGTGGGTTTTCCTTTTCTATGGTTTCGAGGAGATTTTTCATTTATTTGTGTTAAGCATTTCATTTTTTATATTTATTGGTTAAGCCAGTCATATTAGAATAATTTCTTTTAAATGTGTGGGGAATTGTCTTTGGAAATCAATTTGAGAACAATAGGACCATGTGATAATGTCTTGTTCATCTATTTGAAGGAGTAGATTTTTTTGGAATACACCATATCAAACACTTTAAATACTTTTCATTTTCTTAAATGAACTGTTTTGGACATGCCACAATATTGAAAACAATATATGCATCTTTGTCCTCCCCACAGGCTTCAGAAGTAAAGCGTGTTATGCGGAGGGGTTGAAGCCTCTTGTGTCTGTCTTCCGTGTACCCCCCTCTCCCTGCCTCCCACAGTGTTGAGTTTTAAGTTAATGTTGATCCCTAAAGTTCACCTCCAGTATGTGAAAACAAAACAATTTTCTAGTGTATTTAAAATATGTTTGTAATTTTCTTTATTTAAATGTTAAGTTTGAGATTTAAAGTTGCATTTATGGTATTTTTTTAAACCACTTGATTAATGTTTTTATTTTTCAGGTGTCTTGCATGTACTACAGTAGGTTAGAGATGTGTTCATGATGTATTACTTTTATTCGTTTCTTCTTTCCTTAAACAGAGTGCAATAGAGTCTCTTTTTGGAGCATCATTAACTGGGATTGCCTACTCGTTGTTTGCTGGGCAACCTCTCACAATATTGGGGAGCACAGGTCCAGTTTTAGTGTTTGAAAAAATTTTATTTAAATTCTGCAGGTATGTAATAGCTATCCACTTTTCACATGTGTTTACGTAAGTGTATAGTTATATATTATTGTATTAAATTAAAAGTTTTTTGTGTGTTTATTAATAGCTGGAAAAGAGGATCTGATCAGTATATATATATATATATTTTTTTTCAATGTTTTGGGGCCACTGTGTGGCAAACCCCCCTCTGGCTCCTGCTGTCACCCCAGTCCCCTTGTGTATAAAGTCCATGGAGTTGAGTTCTGATAAGCATGTCACTTGAGGGACAGTAAAAATCCTTTGTGTTACCAGATTTCAGCCTAGTCAGAAGGTGTTAAATCTGAATTAGGTATTGAACAGTATGCTGGTCTTGTTAGAAGTTTAGAAAGAGGTGAGTCTAGAAGGCTGGTGCTGGCTCTGCCAGGCAGCGGGCGGGGGTTGTTCACGCGCAGGGTCAGTGCAGGCTGCTGGGCTGTGGCCTCAGAATTTGACCCAGCAGTCCTGCCCCTTTAGTGGGAGCATTGCAGCTGGATGTTTAGCCTGAAACAACTTGCTGCTGTTACAGGTTTGATTCATCTAATTCCTCTTGTTCTGATTCTTTCTTCCCTGAACAAGCTGATTCTGATCTGGCATGATACACACAGAAATCGAGAATGTAGTGGCCTGACCTGTTTTAGGCTCACTTGTTTGACACTGAGTTGGAAAATGAGTCACTGTGGGGTGATGCTGGTGGTGGAGGCGTGCCGGCGGGGCAGGGGTGCCGGCGGGGCAGGGGCGTGCCGGCGGGGCAGGGGCGTGGCGGCGGGGCAGGGGCGTGGTGGCGGGGCAGGGGTGCCGGCGGGGCAGGGGTGTGGCCGCTGTGTCACCCTGAGCCCTGGGGCGCAGAGAGCAGCACACATCCAGGTGTCCTGGAGGCTACTGTCTGTCGCCTAAGCCTCATAACTGATTTCTAAAGTGAGGTCTTTGTTTTTAAGTGTATATTGCCTGGCAGGTTTACACTCGAAAACTTTTGTATAAGTAAAATATAACTGTTAAGTCTAACAACAAGCTAGCCTTCAGTTGAAGCAAAAGAAAGAAAAACACATAGAGCTTTCTCTAGGCATTATTTTGTTATTCTGTGATATGCTCTCTTTTAGAAATCTCATGTTTTTATACTGTTCTTACTGCTTATTGTGGAAATTTTCAGTACCAGTACTGTTTGGCATGTATATGTTGATCGTGTCCACGTTTGTTTTTCTTTCCAAACAGAGATTACCACCTTTCCTATCTGTCTCTGAGAACCAGTATTGGTCTGTGGACCTCTTTCTTGTGCATTGTTTTGGTTGCAACAGATGCAAGCAGCCTGGTGTGCTACATCACACGGTTCACCGAGGAGGCTTTTGCAGCTCTCATCTGCATCATATTCATCTATGAGGCTTTGGAGAAGCTCTTCCATTTAGGAGAAACATACGCATTTAATATGCACAACAATTTGGAGGAACTGACCAGCTACTCGTAAGTGTTTCTATTTCCCTTAATATTAAAATGTATTTTTGCAGACGTTTAAGAGCAAAAGAAAACAGATTTTTTTTTTTTTTTTTGCAACGTGATGCTCACTGTATATCAAGCTATAACTACCCAACTGGCAATACAGAGGTTGACTTGTTTGTTACAGGTGAGATCTTACCAAAGCACTCAGTGGACATAAATGTGACTGAACAAATTCAGTCACTGTTATTCCATGAAACAATTTGTCCACGTGTGTATGTTTTTGATTTCATGTTTAAATTGGATTGGCCAATTTAAGTTCAGTTGTTTGGCAACTGCCCACCATATATTTAAATATTATTCATGTTGTGCATTTTCATTAATTTTTGTGGATGTTATTTTAAAATATAATTTCAGTGTACTGTTGTATGCTGTTTAGCGGATTATTTTCTTTGTGATAAAGCATGAAATGAAAATATTTTAAGACTCAGAAATAAAATGGGATTTGAGAAGTAATTATAATAGTTACAAAGGGTTGGCAGTCATTTAAACGTCACGAAGGTGATTAAAATGACACGTTCTGAGGTGGATGCCTGTATTTGCTGTCCTGCGCACAGCTGATGTGGGCTCGAGCCTGCATTTGGTGAACTTTCACGGAGGAACGTGGTGACCAAAACCCTTCCTCCTGGCCCCCGCATCACACTGCTCCTCCCCCGCTGCCCTCCACACTCCCGGCCTTGATGGACAGGGGACGGAGGAGCCTGCAACTTCCTGTAAGATATTGACCTGCTTGAAAATATCAGTGGCACTCTGATACCAAGTCTGTTTTGCGTCAACTTTGTTCTCAAACTAGGTATTTTTTTACTTAATTCTCTGTCTTCTCTCTTTCCCTGTTACTCTGATCTTTAAGAAGCCTGAGCATGATTTTCGCAGCTCGTGACAACAGTTAGAGCATTGTTTCTGGTGTGCAAATCCTTTGTTCAGCTGACATTTTGCGGCAGACACTGTGTTGAGTGTTGCTTAATATTCATGTCGTTGTGAGTCATTTGTGTCATAGCCCCTTTTGTGTATGAAGAACCCGAGGCTCTTTAAGGTTAGAACTTGACTTGGGTCAAATAACTAGCAAATGACAGAGCCTCAGTGAATCTGAAGTCCAGCCTCCCACCTGTTCTCAAACAGCTCGTGGTCCAGTTGAGAATATTTTTGTTTGTTCTTTTCATTTTTTAAATCCATATTTAGAGATTTGTTTTCTCATGTATGTGTTTCTAGCTTTTTCAGGCAGGTCAGATAGTTCTGGGTACGAACTGAATTCTGATTAGCTTAACTCTCCTAGTGCTGTCCTGAAAAATGATGTTTTACCCATTACTGTAAGGATGACTCTTAAGATGCATAAAGGGATTGCTAGAATTCCTGGAATTAACGAGAGCAGACATTGTACTGGTTCCCAGCGCCTGATGTGTGTGTGGACAGTGGGGCGGCGGCAGCTCCATGGGGGTTAAGTGATGAGATTGAATGGAGGCTGACCATGTTAAAGGTGGTGTCTTCCCAGATTTTTAAAGAAAATAGTTCTGCCCCAAGGGATGTGTCCAACTAGTTTCATTAAGTAGGCATTTTCTTTGTTTTATTTATGTAAGCCAAACTTCATTCCATTCCATTGTTTCTGAAATGTTTTCACTTTTTTCCCCTTGCATTATAACATGGAATAAAGTTAAGAAGTTAAAAACTACTCCACTGTGTGATTGATTTAATACGATATAAACATGAAGTTCAGAATCCTTAAAACTGTATCCCATTCTGATTTCTCAGATGTGTGTGTGTTGAGCCTTCTAACCCTGGCAATGAAACTCTGAAGACGTGGGAGGAACAGAATGTGACAGCCCGCGACATTCCCTGGGGGAACCTCACTGTGTCTGTGAGTATAAATGAAGCGAAGGCTGGTGCAAACAATTAACCTCATTCTTGAGCTTTTTCTGAGTAAAATGAAGTGAAAGTCACTCAGTTGTGTCCAACTCTTTGCGACCCTGTGGACTATACAGGTCAGAATACTGGAGTGGGTAGCCATTCTCTTCTCCAGGGGATCTTCTGAACCCAGGGATCGAACCCAGGCCTCCCGCACTGCAGGCGGAGTCTTTTTACCAGCGGAGCTGCGAGGGAAGCCCAAGAATGCTGGAGTGGGCAGCCTGTCCATTCTCCAGTGGATTTTCCCGGCCCAGGAACTGAACTGAGGTCTCTTGCATTGCAGGTGGATTCTTTACCAGCTGAGCTACATGGGAAGCCCCTTTCTGAGTAAACCTATGTTTTCTTCTTGATTGATGGATATCGTTTTCAGAATATAGTGTTGTGTTGTCTAACCAAATAGGAATTACCACATTTTTTTAAATCATGTCCTGAAGTGTAAAAGCTGAAAAAAACGGAAACTGAGATCACGGGAAGAGAGGTCAAGAGGGACTATGTTTGGCTTCCAGGACACTGAAAAAAAGTGGCAGTGTAGTCGCTCAATTGTATTGCCTGCTGTAGCCCTCCATGCCCCTCTGTCCATGGAGTTCTCCAGGCAAGACGCTGGAGTGGGTAGCCATTCCTTTCTCCAGGGGACCTTCCTGACCCAGGGATCGAACCTGGGTCTCCTCTATCGCAGGCAGATTCGTTAACATCCGAAGCACCTGGGAACCCCTCCAAGATATTATTTATTAGAAAGATATGAATATGCTTTCGGGTTTCTAGATCCTCTTGGATCCATACACTCATCAGCCTGTGGTTGCTGGTTGCAGGTCCCAAAGGTAAGAGTTCAACAGCTCGTACCCACCTGTCCTGCCTTCTGTTGTTCAGCCTCTCTGGGACCCACCTGTCCTGATCAGGGGTGCTCAGACTGAACCTGTTTACCTGATGGAGACTAGTCTGACTTGAGCACTGAGAGAAAGAAAAGGGAAAAAAGGGTAGAAATGTATAATGACCACCTGCTGGGTACTGAAGACTGTTACACACATATTTTTGTATTTTGTTGGGAAATATTGTCCTAGCTCTAGAGTAGCTGTTTTGGTCACTTCCCAGGTTGGGATTTAGAAATAAAGGTGTCCAGTGATGCTAGCAGTATCAGTGAAAACCCACCATCCCCTGAGCTGCTCTGGTGCTTTTTATATCATGTAATCATTTGTAGGTCATCCCTTTCTCTCTTAGGGCGATAGTTAGCTCCTGAATATAGAGTTGGAGGGATTTCATCTGCAGTGTTATCCCACTGATCACTTACATCTGCGCTGTGCAGTGCAGTAGTCACGGGCCACATGTGTCTGTATTTAACTGTAAAAGTTGAGTTTCTTGGCTGCACTAGACGTGCTCATGTCATGTGACTTAACTGCTGGCCAACTGTATGGGCAGTATAGATTTATGACACCTTATCAACACGGATGGTTCTGGGACAGTGTGGAGACAAAGCACTGTGTCAGTAAGTCATCAGCCTAGAATAATACTGTACTGCTATATATTGAAAAAGTAACTGCCGTTCTGAAAGAAGTAGAGTTAATAGAGGTGTTCAAATGAAAGTGATTTGTTAAAAAAAAAAATGAAAAACTCTTCATGTTGAATAGGATGTCCTAATATTTCAGATTACTTATATGTATGGTCTGTCCAGTGTGTTTTTTCGATCCCTAATAGGGCCATGTTAAGTTTCTTTGCATGGCTGTAGCTTTTATTTCTATGATCCACGTTGTAAACTGTAGGATTACTAATGTTAGCACATAGAAATTGAGAATAATGGATTCTCAATTTGGCTGTTGAGAATCCACTAATGGATTCTCCTTTGGCTATTTTTCTTTCAATAAACCTGATTTATGCTTTGAAAATGAATCTCATTAGAATATAAGTAAGGAGAAAAGGACTTCAGTTGTTTTTGTTAATTTCTGGTTGTCTTTCAGTTATTCTTTTCCCTCAAAAGGAAAATCAAGTCAATATATTTCTATAATTGTGCTATATTATTGATTACATTATTGATTTTATTAATGGAAATATTTCAGTGGTTCACTTTACTGTTTTAATCTCACCTTTAGAAAAGTCAGAAAAAAAGTCAAAAAAGCCAAGCACAGTTTTTACTATTGAGTTGAATTTAGTACTATAGCCATCTCTTTATTCAGCATTGTAAAGGCAGAGTAGTAATTTTCTGACTTTTGATTTTATTTTAAGCAACTTGTTCAAAAGTAATGGAAAGATAGTAAAATTGTTGACCAAAGATGCAAACAAAGTATTTGGGAATTAATACTCAATATATAAACCTTTCACTAAAGGAAATAAAGAGTTTAAAGAAGGGAGTGTATGATGTAGTAACTTGACAAGATACATTATTTCCTTTCAGTGATTTCTAAGATGCACAGATTTGTCAAACCATTACCTCTCTGAACTCAAGATGTGTTTTAAAACTGATTGTGTTTTAACATTGACTTGATGTTGTGTTTTTCTAAGTGAAACAGAATAACGGTGTGTCTTTTGATAAGTAGCATCTTAGAGTCAGAGAAGTTCCTCATTAATTTATTGGAGATCTGAGAATCCCCTTTACCCCTTCCTTTTCTGTTTTTCACCCCTTTTTTCAGGAATGTAAAATCTACCATGGTACATTTGTAGGATCAGCTTGTAGTCTCCATGGACCTTATATTCCAGATGTGCTCTTTTGGTCTGTCATCTTATTTTTCACAACATTTTTTCTGTCTTCATTCCTCAAGCAATTTAAGACCAAGCGCTATTTTCCTACCAAGGTAATTGGGGTTTAATTTTGGAGTTCTTGTAATTCTCATGTTTTTAAACAGTAAGATATTGTTTGAGATTAGTAATTTTATGTCAAGCAGCTATAAGGAAATTATTCCTAGTGAAAAGTGTAGAGAACAGACATGTGGACGGAGGGCGGAAGAGGAAGGTGGGATGAACTGAGAGCAGCATTGACATACCCACTGCCATATGTAAAGCAGAGAGCTAGTGAGAAGCCCCAGTGTACCCCAGGGAGCCCGGGCCAGTGCTCTGTGATGGCCTGGAGGGGCTGGGTGGGCGGGAGGTGCAAGAGGCGGGGGCATATGTTATACATGTAGTTACATCACTTCATTGTACAGCAGAAACTAACAACATTGTAAAGCAATTATATTCGAATAAAGTTTTAAAGGTGTATATTCCCTATCTGAGCTAACAGTAGAAAGACAATGGCATCAAGGGACATGATAGGTTAGTTGTGAAATGTGTTTCTTATCTTTTGTAAAAAATATTAGTTATAAATGTGTTTCACTGATGCATCATCACTAATTAAAAAACTTGTTCACACTTTCTAGTGGCACATTTAATCTGTAAAAGATATGAATTATTTAGAAAGGACAGTATTCTGTGTCTATACTAACGTAACCCCTTTAACATAGGTGCGCTCGACAATCAGTGACTTTGCTGTATTTCTCACCATAGTAATAATGGTTGTAATTGACTACCTTGTAGGAGTTCCATCTCCTAAACTTCATGTTCCTGAAAAATTTGAGGTAAGGATTAAAACACTTGGCTGTTTGTTACTGGGAAATACCAAACTACTTTAAAGTAAGATACAGCCTCCTAGTTAGTAATTTTTAAAATATGCACATTCTTTGTGAAGAGCTGATGCTTTGAAAGGAAAGATTATGTATACCTCTCACAGATAAAAACAATGACAAGATGAACAGAGACAAGTGAACATATTTAGGAAATAAGTAAGAAGGTATCAAATCTAGTCCTTCACAGAGAGTAAGTGGAAATATTCATAGTCGTTTAAAATTTTTGACCTTGCTGTCATAGCTGGAGTTCATGATACACTCTCCAGGTGAAAGAAACATTCGTTATTCCTTTGTGAAGAAGTAACTCAAACTTGAATTTAAAAGAGTAGCAAGGTGATCCTAATTAAAATTTCTAGAAGAGTGATTGATATATCTGACAGTAATTGGACAGTGTCTTGTAACATTTTTCAGCAGAATCAAGAAAGAATTTTTTTTTTCCCACAAGAAAAGTGATGCTTAGTCTGAGGAACCACGAACTTTTTGGTTTCATTAAAACTACAGGTCTTTTGTATTGTTGTTGTTCAGTCACTCACTCATATCTGCCCCTTTGCCAACCCTATGGCCTGCATAATGCAACATCTGATAATTATTTTCCCTTCTAAGTTGGAGATGGTAGCTTTTGAATAGTTTCTGGAAATTTTTAATAATCAAGTATTTGTGTCACTGCCTGTGTTTACATTTAACAAATTATATGACTTTGAGAAGCAGAAAATTTAAAGGGGATTAGAAATAAGGAATATAATGAAAATAAGTTTAGTCTGTTTTCTCTCTGACAGGGATTAAAAAATAGAATCCTTTTTAAAACCTGTGTCCTCCAAAATAGAGTACGTGGAAAATGATCCTCAAATTATATGGATCTACTCATATTTTATCTAAAAATAAGAAACATTAAGCTTTATAATATTTATGATATGAATTTCACTATAAAGATAATTGTTAGTAATATAATGCATAAATAAATATAGAATCATTTGGGTAAATAAATGTCTTTTTCCTGCTAAGAGTATATAACTTAAAAAGTTTGGAGACCTTTGTTTAAAAGCATAGATATTGAGCCACTAAAGCTTTTAAGCCATTAGAGATGACTATATCTAAGTCATTCTATATTTACCGAGTCTTACAAATTGACAAAACTGTAAATTATATTAATGTAATTTCCTGTAATCCTGGTCCCATTTCCTTATTCTGGTTCCAAATATATCTCTGTTACTCATTTATCTAGCTTTGAAGTAGCAAACTGATTTCAAGGGTTATTAAATACACTTGGGGAAATAAACAGTTAAGAATATATGCATTATATAAATAAAACATTTTTATCCACATGCAGTACTGAATGTGAGGCATTATCATGTGTATCTGTGTAGGGAAATGATAATATTTAAATTTGAAAACAGTTAATTTCCCTTTTATATTGACAAAAATGTTTTCTTGTAGGAAAAAATAGGCTTAATATAAAGGCTAAGTAATAGGAACATGCTTAAATTTCAATATATCCAATACCCTCCAAGAATGCTAGATTCTTAGGAGCTTTAAAAATGCTTCATTTAAAGCAGATTTATGTTACAGCATTGAAATATATTAGTATCTGATGAAGTGTCAGGTTTGTGTCAGTCCCTGCTTTGGAAGAATAGTGGGCCAAGCCCCAGTGCGGCCTGAGTACTGACGCTGTCACGATGGCTAGTCTATAGGGTCTACAAGGCGGTTTATTAATAGTTTTCAGAGTTGACCTAGTAGGTAGTCTGATTTTACTTTATATGGAATGGATAGGCATGTGTTGAAATGAAACTCTGCTTCGCTTACCTATCACTGCATAACAAATCTAAAACATCATATCCTGAAACAGTTCTTTTTTGTTCATAAATCTGTGATGTTGGCCCTAGGCTGAGGTGGGGGTAGTCTGGTCCCCTGGTGTGGGATTTTTGGGTGCCTGCCGTCTTTACTACCTTGGTGGGGGCATGTCTGGGAGCTCAGCACAGAGGCTGAATGAAGGGACTGGTAGTTGCCTCCTACCCCTGTCTCATCATACAGTGTCTCATCCTCAAGAAAGCTTATCGACGCTTACTCAGAGCTTAACCCCGGGGCTCCAGGAGGCTAGTAAGAGCAGCAGCAAGGTCCTTCCAGGTCAAGACGCAGGAGTCACAGGGTCGCCATGGCCTTGTTCCCAGGTCCAAGGGGAGGACGTAGATGCTACCTCCGGATGGAGAGAGTGGCTCAGTCACGTGCACAGGGACCTGCCTCGGGGACAAGAGAATCCCCACGAGCATCTCTGCAGATAATTCACAACAGATTCCAGGGTTCAGTCCAGTTCTTTCCAACCCCTTGGCATTTCTTGGGGGTAGACACAGTCTGTGCTGTTAGAAGGAAACTTTTCTTTCTTCCTTTGAATTTTTCAATGTTTTAACAGCCTACTGATAAAAATAGGGGCTGGATCATAAGCCCGCTGGGAGAGAACCCTTGGTGGACCTTGTTAATCGCGGCCATTCCAGCTCTGCTATGCACCATTCTCATCTTCATGGATCAGCAGATCACAGCGGTGATCATCAACAGAAAGGAGCACAAGTTGAAGGTAATTTTCAGAGTGTGTCCCGAGAGTTTTCTTTGAGTTGGAGGTGGTGAACATTCGTTTCTTCTCTCTTTATGAGTAGCGCAGAATTTGAACCTGAGAGAACAGTATATGCTCACAGATATCCGTGTTGGCTTCCCTTTTCAGAAAGGAGCTGGCTACCACCTTGACCTGCTCGTGGTTGGTGTCATGCTGGGAGTGTGCTCTGTCATGGGACTTCCATGGTTTGTGGCTGCAACGGTGTTGTCAATAAGTCATGTCAACAGCCTAAAAGTGGAATCTGAATGCTCTGCTCCTGGGGAGCAACCCAAGTTTTTGGGCATTCGTGAACAGCGGGTGACAGGGCTAATGATTTTTATTCTAATGGGCCTGTCTGTGTTCATGACTTCAGTACTAAAGGTAAAATCTCTTTGTTACGATGTTTTAAAAATCTTTTTTTTGTCATAAAATTTATACTTGGTGGTATGAAAATGAAACATTAAAATATCTAAAATAGTTTCATTTCCTAGAGTTTACTTGGAAAATAAATATTTTGGAATGGTGGTTGCTGTGGTAGGTATCAGGGTTAGATTGTATCCTCTTAAAAAATAATGTGAAAGGGTACTATTAAAGACTGCAGAGTTTTGGAAGAAGTTCATCTGTGGCTTAGTTACGATCTAAAAGAAGAATATACCTAGAGAATTTTATAAGTATATTAGAGGAAGTAATATTGAAAGGTAGATGAAACAGTAATTTAACTGAAATGTAAAAAATAAGACTGCTATTAATTGAATTAATACATTCTTCCTGATGAACTAAATGAGATATAAGTAGGAGCACTCATATCTTTTAGTCACATCTGAGGTTTACTATACATATTCTACTGAATCTGGTAATTTAACAAGAAACAGTCATAGCAAACCTAGCTGAGTATCTAATCTGGTATTTTCTGTTAATCATGAAAGAGCTCACTTCCGTTGTTTTTTTGTTTGTAAACTATAAAATACAGATGTGGAGCATCGTATGCATGTGTGTTACGTGGTAACTAAAAAAATTGTTGTTAGTACTAGAATTCTTTGGCCTCCTTTTGTGCAGCCAGCCAGTTGGCCAAATATTTGTTGAGTACTTTCTGTACTATTGGTTACTGAGGAAACGACAACAAACAGGACAGTGTCTGCTCGGAAGAATCTGGCAGTCTGGTTGGTGAAACAGATAGACAGATGGGCAGTTGCTTCCTGGTGGTGAGTGTCCTGTTAGAGCAGGAGGCTGGAGAAACATGCAGTGCCGTCTTGTGTGGACGCTGCCCCCTACTGGCCAGGGTTGCCCTTTACATGGGTTTTCAGTAGTTTCAAACATTTTAAAGTATTAACTGCATAATATAGGCAGAAAAATTCAAGTAGAATATCAAGAAAGCTCTCAAAGGAAAAGCTTTGTTTTCTCTCACTTTCCAAAAACCAACTTTCTAGAAGTAAACTTTTTACTCCTTTTTTTTTTAAGATATTTTGTTAGTCAGTGCCATTACATTTCTCCTTACTTTTATAATGTTATTTCTAAGTTTATTATCTTTAGTGAAATAGTGAAAGTAGTGGTTCTCGCTGCCTAAGACAGTGACCCTTAAAGGGTCGCCCAAGGACCTCTGTGTGGGGCCTGCAGGAGCCCCGCTCGCCCAGGTGTGCGCCTGTGCGAGGCGGGGTTGTGCTCACGGCCTTTGGGCAGAACCGCGTAAGCGGTACGCCAAGCTAGATAGAGGCGGCAGAGTGGGGTCCTCTGTTAGCCGCCCCCTGAAGAGATTTACAGGGACACACAGTACTGCTGCTCTTCTCACTTAATCTTATGTTCTTTGGAAATTACAGCTTCCCAGTAAAAGTATACTGTTTATATTACCTTGTAAGGCGTTTATTATTTTGAAATGAATTAAGAATAGCTATTTAAAATTTTTCTTTTAATTTCTAATGTGGTGAGTATCTATTTCCCATACACCTACCTGCTTATCTATTTGTATATCTCTCTAAGTATAGAATCCACATAAGCAAAAATATTTGGGAGGAGGGTCCTCCGTACTTGTTAGGAGTGAAAAGGGGTCCTTAGACCAAAAAGCTTGAGAGCCTCTGCCCTGAGGTTATATCTTTCATGAGGATTTACCCCCCACATTCCCTTCTCCCTTTCGTCACTTGTTTTTTGGTTGGCTACATTTTATTATTGTAAAGGTTACCCACATTTACACTCTCTTTGCTTCTTTGGTAAGTTAAATTATAGAAATGTAATTTCTATACATTCTATACATGTCCCCTCTGGGGACGTGTAATCAGTATTATGATGATATAAAAATACTCGCCGAGGACTAAGCGTGAGATCAGCCTGTGTGGAGGGAGAAACACACCTCATTTCCCAAACTCCTACTGTTTTAGAATAATAGCCTGATAAATTTTCTTAATATCTGTTAATTTCTCTTTTTAAAAAAGTACATGTACATGTTCCACTTTTTCTTGTATTGCTAAATGAATTTTTTTATATTGCTAAAAGGATTCCTTGAGTAGTTTTTCATGTATGGTACCATAATTAGTGAACTTTCAGAGTTCTTGCATGGTGCAAATTACTCTCACATTTGTTTAATAGATGGGTATTCATTTCAAGGTTCAAATGTATTTTTCTTTGAGTCTTAAAGTTGTTGTTGCTTAAAGATCAGTGGTTCTGATAAGAGATGTGATATCTATTTGGTGTTTGTATCTTCACAAGCATTTTTTCTTTTTACCATTCTCGAAGCTACCAAAATGTCCTTTTTGCTCATGGTGTTTTGAGGTTTCACCATCGTACTTAGGTAGATAGATAGGTGCTTTTTAATTTACCATGCTTGCCTCTCTGTGCATCCTTTTACTCTGGGAACTTGAGCCTTGACTATGGGAATATTCTTCAGCTGTTTATTTCCTCTTCTGTTTTCTCTTAGATGTTTCTTCACTTTCAAGTAGACAGATGTTAGACCTCCTGGATACATTGTTACGTTCCTCTTCTCTACTCTCACTGTTAAATTTTCCCCTATTTTCCTTATCATTTTAATAAATCTCTTTGGTTTTGTCAAAATCAGTATTCTAAAATTCTTTTAAATTATTTTGATAATTATATCTTTAATTTTTTTCATTCTGGTTATTCATTTTTTCCTAGCATTCTACAGTTGCTTTATGGATTAGATATTTTCTTGGGACTCCCTGAGGGTACTGATGAAACTTTTGACGTGTTTTCTTCTCTTCCACTGTCCTTAGTTAAGCACGTACAAGGTTGTTTAGTAGGGAGTGAGTGTGATTCTCTGCTGGCCGGCGGTTAGGTCTCCTTTCCTCAGAGGTCTCTCCCTGGGTGAGTGTCAGTGTGGTGTTTGTGTCAGTGTTGCGTCCTTCCTGGGGAAGACCTGGGCATGGGCTCATAGGCAGTTTGGGATCCCACTTCCTGCTGAAGTAATGAGAACATTCATTTGGGGAGTGGTGTTTATTTATTATACACATTCAGTAAGTGGTGCTGCTTATCAGTCACTGTAGGGGTAGTACAGTGATAATCACGGCTAACACTTTCTGAGTGGTTTAATATGTACCTTGTGCTTTTCTGAGTATTCTATGAGTTTGAAGTTTTTTAACCTTCAAGACAATCTGATGCAGAAGCTGAAACAGAGAGGTTATGTCTCAGTAAGAGGTTAAAAGGGCTTTTAAGCCAAATAGTCTGATTGTGGTGCCTGTACTCTTAACCATGGAACATAGTCCCTTCTTAGAAGAGAGCATGTAGAAGACGACTCTTCAAGAAGGTCATTGTATACTAGCGCTTTTCTTGTTTATAGAAAAGTTCAGTGTCATCACTGAAGTGCATGTGATCACCATTGTCACAAGTGTCATCACTGAGTGTGAAGCTCAGACATGTGCGACTCTTTGTGACCCCGTGGACTGTCGTCCTCCAGGCTCCTCTGTCCGTGGGATTCTCCAGGCAAGAAGACTGGAGTGGGTTGCCATTTCGTCCTCCAGGGGCGCTTCCTGACCCAGGGATTGAACACCCATCTCCTGTGTCTCTTGCAGTGCAGGCAGATTCTTTACCAGTGAGCCATCGGGAACCCCGTGTCATCACTGAAAGATCTTTTAAATCTATCTCATAGGAACTCACAATGTTTTTATGTATCTTTGATGTGAAATTGCTTTAGTTGCATGAGTTCTAATTGTGATCATTTTACTTCCAGTTCATTCCAATGCCTGTTCTATATGGCGTTTTCCTTTATATGGGAGTTTCCTCATTAAAAGGAATCCAGGCAAGTCATAAGCATTTAATGATTTTGTAGAAAAACTTAAAACATTTTACATTTGCAAAGATTGTTTTCATGATGTATTCTCAGCTCTGATATTTTGGGCACAGATTAACTTCAAATCCACATTTTCTAAATAATTATTGTTGTACATTTTTTCCCCTGAAAGTGACATCATGACCTGTGTCCTTACATATTTTAATTGAAGCTAATGAAAAGTAACTATCAATGAAGGCTAATATAGTAAGAGAGGGGATTAAAAGGATTGGAATGGGGGAAAAGGGGCTATCCCTGGCATCTTGGAACAGCAGTTTCAGTTGCTGAAAAGGAAATGCAGATATTAGTTTTCTATAACCAGGGCAACACCTGCCGTTTGTGTGGGGCAGTACAGTTAGTTCATAGAGCCTAGTACTAGGCGATTTTCTGTTATCCTCAAAACAACCTTGGGAAGCAGGAAAGGAAGAAGTGCTGATTTTGTAAATTGTAGAGCAGAAATAGCCTCACTGAAGATTTCTAACTGAGCAGTGGGGCGCAGGTTAGACGCCAGTCTTTTCACCACCCCGTGTTGTCTCACTGCGGCGTTTCGTGGGCAGGCTGGTAGAGCGCGTTGGGATCTGTGTGGATCCGGCCCTCGTGTAGGACGTGCAGCTGCTCAGGTGGCGCTGGCAGCGCTCCCGGCCGCAGACGGTGTGTGGTCCCAGCTGCCAGCTCTGGGGCACCGGGCGTCTCAGACGCAGCAGCCTTACTTGCTCATACAGTCCAGGGTCTGCCTTCCTGTGGTCAAGAGCCAATCTCATTAACTCACTTAATTGTTTTGCAACAGTTTTGTGAGGTGTGTAGGGCTGCTTTTATTCCCAGTTTATAAATGAGGAAATTAAAGCTCAAAGAGACCCAGGAAACGACTCATGGTTTCTGTTTCATTTGGTGAAAACTTGGTGATTGTTACCTCAGGTTATTCTCATAAAAATTGGGCATGTTAGATCTAGAAAGAACTTTAGGAGATTGTTACTCTCTTATTTTACATATTAGAAAAAGAAGTCAAAGAGATTAGATGAGTTGTGTGTTTTTCCATAGATAAATTTGTGGAACTAGTTTAATTCCGCAATTTAAAGCATGTTGACTTGAGTTTCTGATTCATGAATCACATTCGTTCAAATGGTTGCCTTGATTTTTTTCTCCTGGATGAAGATGTTGTCAACTGAAACACTGTGTTATCGGGACATATTAGCACCAGGGAAGTTACCCTGAAGTAGATAGAGTTTCTTTTCCTAAGTAGCAGAAATGCCATTTTTGTAAAAAACGTTCTCCTGTTCTGCTTTCCACTTGACACCCAGTTCTTTGACCGTATTAAGCTGTTTGGCATGCCGGCCAAGCACCAGCCCGACCTGATCTACCTGCGTTACGTGCCGCTCTGGAAGGTGCACGTCTTCACCGTCGTCCAGCTCACCTGCCTGGTCCTCCTGTGGGTGATAAAAGCCTCCGCCGCTGCAGTCGTTTTCCCCATGATGGTCAGTCTTTTTTTCAGACTTTATTACTAATTATTAATATAACGTCTTTGTGTGTTGATAGCAGTTGTCTTATTAACATTTATAATCAACTTTGAGAAAAGGATTTCAAGAACCTCACATGTTTTGAAATGTGAGTTAGCCCTTTCTGGCTAAGAAACCCATCGTTTTCAAAATTGAATTTTGCTTGTCATTTTCTAATTTTGTTTTTATTTTTAGTCCTAGGGTATAGAACAATGTGTTGTATTTTTAAACAACTTCAGAGTTTAGGACGTTTATGAAACAAAACATTAGCCTGACCTAAAAGCAGAGCAACCAGAACACATGTGTCTTTAATAGGCTATTTCAATACATCTTTTTTAGAAATTGATAGATCCAGAACTTAAAAAGTGATACAGATTATAGATGATGTTAATAAGAATCAATATAATTCATTAAATTATCACGTTATAAAATTGCACTTTGCAAATAGAGACTACTCATCCTTTTGCAAATATTATGTAAAAGTTGATTTATATACTTGGCCACAGAGAAAATCTTTGAAAATTATACAGGTAATATTCCTTGATTGCAAATAAATTACAAATGAATATTAAAAAGCCACTAAAAAATATTCAGTGTTTAGAGACTAAATTCTGAACTAAGCCCGGGGTGGAAAACTGAGTTTTTAAAAAAAACAAAACCCATTGAGGAGATATTGAAATAAGTAACTTTTTATCTATGAGATAGAGCTAAAGTTATACATGTAGGAAAATGTACAGCCTTCATTGCCCTTATTTTTCAAGAAGACTTAAATGCAACTAAGTTTTTACTTGTAAAGATCAATAATGGATAACTCCTTTATAATAAGTAAAATATACAAGATTAAGAGAAAAAATACATAACCACAGCTGTGGTTTGAGGGGTTTTAAGACAATAGTACACGAGTCTATACCAATATAAGAACATCTAGAGTAGAAGTCAATAAACTTTTATGTAAAGGGTCAGCTTTGAAGGCCACTAGACTATTATATAGACACTTACATAACAAGAGAGAAATTTCCACAGTTTTTACTTATAAAATTCAAAATGTAGTTGTAGAGCTTTTTTTATATGAAAGACTGCCAATGAGAAGAAGGGAATTTTTCATTTGGGACAATATATCACTTAATTGGAGCTAGTTAAAAGTTACTATTCCTCTCATCAGATTAGATCTAAATGCTCATCTGTAAAAGCTATTCTTAGCTCATAAGCCATACAAAACAGGCGGTGGAATGGATTTATCCCAAGGGCTTGTGGTTTGCCTACCCCTGACATAGAGGGAGAAGCCCACTGTTTACTAGTGTTAAGGGTGTAAACTGAAAGTTCTGACTGTGATATAAGATAAGAGTAATATAATAATTGGTACAATGACACAATAGTATTATTTGTATACGTATTAACCCAATTGACTCAAAAAAGACTAAAATCTCTTAATAGAATTAGTAAGAATTTTGTTAAGGTAGCTGGATACAAGAAAACATGATAACCAGTATACAGACTCTGTCTTAGTAATAATGCTAAAAATTGAAGTGAAAAAAATTGTACTCATGATGTTGACCAAAAACTATAAAATAGTTAATAACTTGGAAAGGAGATACTTATTTAAAGAGAAAAAGAGTACAGTAGTATTTGTATTAGTTTCTTAAAGCTGGTAAAGTATCACAGACTCATGGGCTTCAAGCAGCAGATTTGTATCACAGTTTGGAGGCCAGAAGGCAGAAACCGAGGTCTGGCCTGGGCCCTGCTGCCCCGACGCCGGCCGGGCCCTGCTCCTCTGCCCCTCCCCGGCCTCTGCGGGCAGCCTGTGGTGCCCCTTGGCCTGCAGTTGCCTAGCTCTGGTTCTGCCGCTTTCGTGGCTTGTGCCGTGTGGTCACTGTGTCGGCGTATCACCATTTGAGCACAGCGCTAGCGTGCTGCACAAGGACCCCTTTCTCTCCAGTGTGACCTCTTCTTAATTAATTACACCTGCAGCCATCCTGTTTCTAAATAAAATCTCATTATGAGGTGCTAGGGGCTGGTACTTAAATGTTTTCCAGAGGGACACAAGTCAACCCTTAACAATATTGCAGGACATAAAATTAAGACCTGAACAGATAGAAACATATACCGTATTCTTTGTTTTGGGTACTTATTAGTATTATTAAAATATCACTTCCAAGTATGAAGTTTACTAATTTTATTTGCATGTATATTTGTGTGTTTGGGGCAGAAGGGTGGTATCAGTGAGAACTGGGTAATTTTAAAGTTCATAGAGAAAAATAGATGCCAGAGCTACAACATGGATGGTGGAAATATTCTGTGTCCTACTGGAATGTGGGTTACAAGAGTATATGTATTTTTCAGAAGCATCAAACTCTATATATGATATTTTTAGATATGTAAATTATATATTAAAGGAAAATGTAGTTGTAATAAATATCAGAGAATAACAAAACAAAGGTCATTATAGTTCAGAATTCCTGGTTGGGTCGGGGGTTGAAAGCCTTGACTCTGTGCTAATGCCATAGTGTTTTGATAACTGAATATTTATAAGTTGTCATCAAGTCAGCATGGCTAACACAGTAGGAAATCTCATAAGAATTGACAAATAGATCTGAAAACAGGACTAATGACTTCAGAAATTTATCAGAATATATGAGAATTTACACCTGAATAACATAAGTGGATTATTTCATTAAAGGCAGTAAATTCACTTAAATGGAAAAATCATAAAAGATTAGACTAAAAAGTTAGACTATTTTACTAGGAGCTAAATAAAGTTGCTGAGTGAGTGAATGAAGTTTGCTCAGTCATGTCCAACTCTTCAACCCCATGGACTGTACAGTCCTTGGAATTCTCCAGGCCAGAATACTAGAGTGGGTAGCCTTTTCCTTCTCCAGGGGATCTTCCCAACCCAGGGATTAAACCCAGGTCCCCTGCATTGCAGGCAGATTCTTTATCAGCTGAGCCACAAGGGAAGCCCAAATAAAGTTGCTATGTAATATCATATTCTGAAAGAAATAGTATATCAATTCACAATTTAAATGTTAAAGCAAGTTATAGTAAAAATTTAGAATATAATTGAGTGGTTGAAGATAATTTTTCAAAGAAGGTAGGGAAATCTAACAGTGAAAGAAAGATGATATTTTTGACTACATGACAATCGTTTTGTATGTCCTTAGTAAAATCAGATTGTGAACTGGATGAAGACATTTGTTACATATAAGACAGTGAGTTTCTATCCAAACTACACAGAACTTTTAGGAATTCATGAACAGAAGTCAGTTGAAAACCAACTGGAAAAAAAGTCAAAAGGTAAGAAACAGTAAGAACAGAAGATGGAAAACCAGGCAGAATGCTCTTGGACATAAATTGCAGCAATGTCTGTTTAGATCCACTTCCTCGAGTAATGAAAATAAAAACAAATAAACAAAGGAGACCTAATCAAACTTACAAACTTTTAACAGTGAAGGAAACCATAAACAGAACAAAAGGACAACCCACAGAATGGGAGAAAATATTAGCAAATGATGTGACTGTCAAGGGGTTAACCTCCAGAGTACACAAACAGTTCATGCAGCTCAGTATCAAAGAAGCAAACAACCCAGATCTAAATAAACATTTCTCTAAAGAAAACATGTCACAGATGGCCAAAAAGCACATGAAAAGATGCTTGACATCGCTCATTATTGCGCTGGTGCTCAGTTGTGTCCAACTCTTTGTGACCCCGTGGACTGTAGCCTGCAGGGTCCTCTGTCCATTGAATTTTTCCAGCAATAATACTGGAGTGGGTTGCCATTTCCTGTTCCAGGAGATTATTCCAACCCAGGGATTGAACATGGTGTCTCTTGCATTGGCAGATAGATTCCTTACCACTGTGCCACCTGGGAAGCTAATTATTAGAGAAATGCAAATCAAAACTACAGTGAGGTATCTCCTCACACTGGTTAGAATGGCCTTCATCAAGAAGTCCACAAACAATAAGTGCTGGAGGACTTCTTGTGGTCCAGTGGTTTAAAAAAAATTTCACCTGCCAGTGCAGGGCATGTGGGTTCAATCCCTGGTCTGGGAAGATGCCACATATTGCAGAGCAACTGAAACTTGTGCGCCACAACTTCTGAAGCCCTCCCACCCTAGAGCTCAGACTCCTCAACAGGCACCACAACTAGAGAAAACCCATGCACAGCAATGGAGACCCCGCACAGCCAAAAATAAACACATTTTCAAAAAGTGCTAGAGAGGATGTGGCGAGAAGGGCACCTTCCTACAGTGTTGATGGGAATGTAAAGCGGTGCAGCCACTATGGAGAACACTATGGAGATTCCTTAAAAAACCAGAGCTACTGTATGATCCAGCAGTCCCTGGGCATATATCCAGACAAAAACTATAATTCAAAAAGATACATGCACCCCTGTGTTCATAACAGCACTATTCACAGTAGCCAAGACTTGGAAACAGCCTAAATGGCCATTGACAGAGACATGGAAAAGAAGATGTGGTGCGTATATACAATGGAATATTATTCAGCCATAAAAAGAGCAAAATAGTGCCATTTGCAGCCACATGGATGGACCTAGACATTATCATATTAGGTGAAATAAGTCAGAGAGAGTCAAATATCATTAGATATCACTTATTTGTGGAATCTTTAAAAAAAAAAAAAAGATACAAAGAAACTTATTTACAAACCAGAAACAGACTCACAAGCATAGAAAACAAATTTACCATTACCAAAGGGGACAGGTGGTGGGGAGGGATAAATTAGGAGTTTGAGCTTAACATATATACACTACTATATATAAAATAAAGAAAGAGCAAGGTCCTGCTTGTATAGCACGGGGAATAACTCAGTATTCTATATGCGAGAAGAATCCGAAAAAGAAGAGATGCACGTATGTGTATAACTTACACTTTGCTGTACACCAGAAAATAATACAACATTGTATCAACTCTACTCAAATACAAACTAAAGTCTTAAAAAGTAAAAAAAAAGAAGAGACAGAGAAAATCAAATTTCCAGTGAACATTTGAAAACATCTTCAACCTTTAGCCCACCAGGCTCCTCTGCCATGGGATTTTCCATGCAAGAATACTGGAGTGAATTGTCATTTCCTTCTTCAGAGGATCTTCCCAACCCAGGGATCGAACCTGCATCTCCTGTAGCTCCTGTATTGGCAGGCAGGTTCTTTGCCAGCTGAGCCACTGGGGAAGCTCTTAGCACCAAAGAAAAGCAAATTAAAGAATATTGTGTCTTTTTCACAAACATAATTTGTAGAGTAAAACCTAATGCTGGAAAGTGGGTTCTCTAATGCCTTGTTGAAGAGATTTTAAATATCATATCTTACATAATATTTATAATATATAATATTAAATATTATATAATGTAAAGTCATCATAAAAAGTAATAATCTCATTTGTGAAGATAATCATTATCTGCTTTATAATTTTATACAGAATTCAAGGGACTTATATAGGGAAAGGCTAAAAATTTAATTTTCTTTATATCTTTGAGCAGAAAGTTGAAAAAAATAAATAGGTGACTAAGCTTCTTTGAAATAAGATGATGTGTAAAGTAATTTTAAAATAAAATATATGATGTGCTTGTTTATGATTTGATAAATACTTTTTGATAAATAATTTTTAGATATTACTGAATATTCTCTCCCTTACTTTTTTAAAGGTTCTGGCATTAGTCTTTGTTCGCAAACTCATGGATCTGTGTTTCACAAAGAGAGAGCTTAGTTGGCTTGATGATCTCATGCCAGAAAGTAAGAAAAAGAAAGAAGACGACAAAAAGAAAAAAGAGAAAGAGGTAAAAGAAAAATGAATTTCAAATGTACACTGTTTACTTACTGTTTAATGTTTTGTACCAAGTAGCAAACACTATTATACTCATTTCAGTGGGAATCAACTCCTAAGAACCTTATTATTAAAAAATGTTCCGTTCAGTTCAGTTGCTCAGTCGTGTCTGACTCTTTGCGACCCTGTGGACTACAGCACACCAGGTCTCCCTGTCCATCCCCAACTCCCAGAGTTTACTTAAACTCATGTCGATTGAGTCAGTGATGCCATCCAACCATCTCATCCTCTGTCATCCCCTTCTCCTCCTGCCCTTAATCTTTCCCAGCATCAGGGTCTTTTCAGATGAGTCTGCTCTTCGCGTCAGGTGGCCAAAGTATTGGAGTTTCAGCTTCAGCACCAGTCCTTCCAATGAATATTCAGGACTGATTTCCTTTAGGATGGACTGATTGGATCTCCTTGCAGTCCAAGGGACTCTTAAGAGTCTTCTCCAACACCACAGTTCAAAAGCGTCAATTCTTTGGCGCTCAGCTTTCTTTATAGTCCAACTCTCACATCCATACATGACCACTGGAAAAAACATAACCTCGATTAGATGGACCTCTGTTGGCAAAGTAACGTCTTTGCTTTTTAATATGCTGTCTAGGTTGGTCATAGCTTTTCTTCCAAGGAACAAGCGTCTTGTAATTTCATGGCTGTAGTCACCAGCTGCAGTGATTTTGGAGCCCAAAAATATAAAGTCTGTCACTGTTTCCATTGTTTTCCCATCTATTTGCCATGAAGTGATGGGACCAGATGCCATGATCTTAGTTTTCTGAATGTTGAGTTTTAAGCCAACTTTTTCACCCTCCTCTTTCACTTTCATCAAGAGGCTCTTTAGTTCTTCTTCACTTTCTGCCATAAGGGTGGTGTCATCTGCATATCTGAGGTTATTGATATTTCTCCAGGCAATCTTGATTCCAGCCTGCGCTTCTTCCAGCCCAGCTTTTCTCATGATGTACTCTGCGTATAAGTTAAAGAAGCAGGGTGACAGTGTACAGCCTTGATGTACTCCTTTCTCAATTTGGAACCAGTCTGTTGTTCCATGTCCAGTTCCAACTGTTGCTTCCTGGCCTGTATACAGATTTCTCAAGAGGCAGGTCAGGTGGTCTGGTATTCCCATCTCTTTCAGAATTTGCCACAGTTTATTGTGATCCACACAGTCAAAGACTTTGGCATAGTCAATAAAGCAGAAATAGATGTTTTTCTGGACCTCCCTTACTTTTTCGATGATCCAGCAGATGTTGGCAATTTGATCTCTGGTTCCTCTGCCTTTCATAAATCCAGTTTGAACATCTGGAAGTTCACGTTTCATGTATTGTTGAAGCCTGGCTTGGGGAATTTTGAGCATTACTTTATTATTTTTTTTTCCATTTATTTTTATTAGTTGGAGGCTAATTACTTTACATCATTGCAGTGGTTTTTGTCATACATTTAAATGAACTAGCCATGGATTTACATGTATTCCCCATCCCGGTCCCCCCTCCCACCTCCCTCTCCACCCGATCCCTCTGGGTCTTCCCAGTGCACCAGGCCCAAGCACTTGTCTCATGCACCCAACCTGGGCTGGTGATCTGTTTCACCCTAGATAATATACATGTTTCGATGCTGTTCTCTTGAAACATCCCACCCTCGCCTTCTCCCACAGAGTCCAAAAGTCTGTTCTATACATCTGTGTCTCTTTTTCTGTTTTGCATCGTTACCATCTTTCTAAATTCCATATATATGTGTTAGTATACTGTAATGGTCTTTATCTTTCTGGCTTACTTCACTCTGTATAATGGGCTCCAGTTTCATCCATCTCATTAGAACTGATTCAAAGGAATTCTTTTTAATGGCTGAGTAATATTCCATGGTGTATATGTACCACAGCTTCCTCATCCATTCGTCTGCTGATGGGCATCTAGGTTGCTTCCATGTCCTGGCTATTATAAACAGTGCTGCGATGAACATTGGGGTGCACGTGTCTCTTTCAGATCTGGTTTCCTCGGTGTGTATGCCCAGAAGTGGGATTGCTGGGTCATATGGCAGTTCTATTTCCAGCTTTTTAAGAAATCTCCACACTGTTCTCCATAGCAGCTGTACTAGTTTGCATTCCCACCAATGGTGTAAGAGGGTTCCCTTTTCTCCACACCCTCTCCAGCATTTATTGCTTGTAGACTTTTGGATAGCAGCCATCCTGACTGGCGTGTAATGGTACCTCATTGTGGTTTTGATTTGCATTTCTCTGATAATGAGTGATGTTGAGCATCTTTTCATGTGTTTTTGTGCCATCTGTATGTCTTCCTTGGAGAAATGTCTGTTTAGTTCTTTGGCCCATTTTTTGATTGGGTCATTTATTTTTCTGGAGTTGAGCTGCAGGAGTTGCTGGTATATTTTTGAGATTAATCCTTTGTCTGTTGCTTCGTTTGCTATTATTTTCTCCCAATCTGAGGGCTGTCTTTTCACCTTGCTTATAGTTTCCTTTGTTGTGCAAAAGCTTTTAAGTTTCATTAGGTCCCATTTGTTTATTTTTGCTTTTGTTTCTAAAATTCTGGGATGTGGGTCATAGAGGATCCTGCTGTGATTTATGTCAGAGAGTGTTTTGCCTATGTTCTCCTCTAGGAGTTTTATAGTTTCTGGTCTTACATTTAGATCTTTAATCCATTTTGAGTTTATTTTTGTGTATGGTGTTAGAAAGTGTTCTAGTTTCATTCTTTTACAGGTGGTTGACCAGTTTTCCCAGCACCACTTGTTAAAGAGGTTGTCTTTTTTCCATTGTATATCCTTGCCTCCTTTGTCGAAGATAAGGTGACCATAGGTTCATGGATTTATCTCTGGGCTTTCTCTTCTGTTCCATTGATCTATATTTCTGTCTTTGTGCTAGTACCATACTGTCTTGATGACTGTGGCTTTTTGTAGTATAGTCTGAAGTCAGGCAGGTTGATTCCTCCAGTTCCATTCTTCTTTCTCGAGGTTACTTTGGCTATTCGAGGTTTTTTGTATTTCCATACAAATTGTGAAATTATTTGTTCTAGTTCTGTGAAAAATACCTTTGGTAGTTTGATAGGGATTGCATTGAATCTATAGATTGCTTTGGGTAGTATAGCCATTTTGACAATGTTGATTCTTCCAATCCATGAACACGGTATATTTCTCCATCTGTTTGTGTCTTCTTTGATTTCTTTCATCAGTGTTTTATAGTTTTCTATGTGTAGGTCTTTTGTTTCTTTAGGTAGATATACTCCTAAATATTTTATTCTTTTTGTTGCAATGGTGAATGGTATTGTTTCCTTAATTTCTCTTTCTGTTTTCTCATTGTTAGTGTATAGGAATGCAAGAGATTTCTGTGTGTTAATTTTATATCCTGCAACTTTACTGTATTCGTTGATTAGCTTTAGTAATTTTCTGGTAGAGTCTTTAGGGTTTTCTATGTAGAGGATCATGTCATCTGCAAACAGAGAGAGTTTCACTTCTTCTTTTCCTATCTGGATTCCTTTTATTTCTTTTTCTGCCCTGATTGCTGTGGCCAACACTTCCAAAACTATGTTGAAGAGGAGTGGTGAGAGTGGGCACCCTTGTCTTGTTCCTGATTTCAGGGGAAATGCTTTCAATTTTTCACCATTGAGGGTGATGCTTGCTGTGGGTTTGTCATATATAGCTTGTATTATGTTGAGGTATGTTCCTTCTATTCCTGCTTTCTGGAGAGTTTTAATCATAAATGGATGTTGAATTTTGTCAAAGGCTTTTTCTGCATCTATTGAGATAATCATATGGTTTTTATCTTTCAATTTGTTAATGTGGTGTATTACATTGATTGATCTGCAGATACTAAAGAATCCTTGCATTCCTGGGATAAAGCCCACTTGGTCATGGTGTATGATTTTTTTAATACATTGTTGGATTCTGTTTGCTAGAATTTTGTTAAAAGTGTGCATACTTTTATTATTCCCAGTTTACAAAAAAGGAAACAGAGAGAGAGATTAGTAAACAGATTGTCCTAAACAGGGGCTCTTACCCATTTTACCAACTTGCCCTCAGCTCTTACACAGAGATACTTTAAAAAAATTACATATGTATATAAATCAACAGTCAGAAGAATTTACCAGTATTAAAACATAGATAACACAGAATAATTCTACATCACAGTCTTCCATTTAACATAACCTTAAATGTAGATGAGTACATTTTAGCATTCATTTTAATTTTAACAGCATTTTAATAATATGGCATATAAAAGGACAAAAGTGACATTAAGTAGATTATCTTTTTATAGAAAATATAGTAAAATTTTAGTTTTTATATTCAGTATTATGTACCCTTAGTTGATTTGTATACTGAGATTTACATGAATAGTCTATACTGAATTTGAATTTTTTAACAACCAGCTTGGTACTGCAACCTATTATAAAGGGCACACAGACACTTGAGTTATGTAGCGTAGATGATTCTGTTGATTTCAGCGCCTCACTTCATTTTCCCAGTCAGAATATTGTTTGAAAATCAAAGATAATACATTTTTAAAAGTTGTGGTCTTATTTAAATTGATCTCAAAATTGCTGAGTTGTTTTTTTTTGTCTAAGTTTTGAGAGAAATCAGCACAATTTATAACTTGTGTTGCATAGTATTTATGAAAAAGCATTTATTAAAGTTGCAGACAAATGCTTTTAGAAACTTGTTGGCATTTTTTCATGGTTTGATTATTCAGTGCTGATTTATGGCAAAATTACTGGTTTTATGTTTACTCTTAAATAAAAATTGTGACTTTTTAATGAGGATACTAATTGTGAAACAGTTGAATTGAGTCTCCAAAATCTTTAAGAATTTTGTTTCGTTCAAGGCTATATATATATGTAAACATAAGCTTTTGATGATTTTCAAATAGGATATAATTTATTTATAAAATACTTGGGTAAACTTGCTTGCTTATTACTTCCTGTATCACTTAGAATAAGGTCATGTGCACATCACAGAACGAAAGTAGAGTTGCCTTAAACACTAGAGTTTTTTCTTTTTGTCCTGTAAGAGGAATCTTGAAAGTTAAAGTGACCTTGTGCGATGGTTCCAGAGTTGTCAGGATCTCTTGTTGGTTCCTCCCAGCCCAGCGTAGACTTTCCATCCTCAGCATCCCTTGACGGGTCAGGGAGGCTGCTGAGCCTGAGCCATCACATTAGCAGTGGAGTCAGAGACAGTGGGAGGCAGCAGCCTCACTGTGCTACCCAGAAATGGCATCCTAGAGGTTCCATTTGCACCACACTGAGTTGCAGGGAGTGCTGAGAAATTTAGGGTTAATTTCTTTTTAATCTTATATTGTTTTTGTTAAAACCAGGTGCATTGTCACCCCTGAGTTGTGGGATTTCTTTTAGTAAGACAGGCACTCTCTCTGTGTCTCCTGTACTGACCCCCTCTCCATCCTCATTACGATTGTGTCATGATTTGGGTTCATTCTTAGCTTAGGTGTTCTCAGCTTGAGGGGATGGTCAGAAAAGGGGCTGCTACTGACAACTTATGGCCTCTTGTACATCCTCCATAGGCAGGACTGGCTCCCAGGACAAGCAGTTGTTTGGCCAAGTGAGGTTTTGCTTATATTGTATTGTAATGAGAGCCATGAGATTTCACAGAGTTTTGTTGCTCGTTGTACATGGTGTGTGCGTGCTCAGTCATGTCTGATTCTTTGCAACCCCATGGACTGTACCCGGCCAGACTCCCCTGTCCATGGAATTTTCTAGGCAAGAATACTGGAGTGGGTTACCAATTTCTTCTCCAGGGGAATCTTTCCAACCCAGGGCTTGAACCCGCATCTCTTGTGTCTCCTGCATTGGCAGGCAGATTCTTTACCACTTGGGCCACCTGGGAAGCCCCCCTCCCATTGTATTAACTGTGTAATAGTTGATAATAAAATTTATGGGGACTTTCCTGGTAGTCCAGTGGTTAGGACTCTGCTCTTCCAGTAGTCAGAGAACTAGAATTCCATGTGCCATGTGGAGTGGCCAAGAGTAATGCTAATAGTAATAAATTTTGAAAATAAAATTTATGTAGCTAAATTTATATTTAAATAGTACTAATGATTAACTCCCAGAAGTGGAAGTTATAGCCCTTAAAAATTAGTCTTTACAAGTGATTATTTTCACCTTGTGTTACAAGTATATATTCATAATAATAGAATGAAATTTTCAGTCATGGCAAGTTAAAAAATATTGTCAGTTTGCTTTGCTAATTCTTTAAGATGTTGGTATATTAATTGGTCCTGGAAATATTCTGGAAAAAGTCATCTCTTCATGTCTGTTCTTTCAAGGAAGCTGAGCGAATGCTCCAAGCTGGTGAAGACACTGTGCACCTTCCATTTGAAGGGGGAAGCCTCCTGCAGATTCCAATGAAGGCGCTAAAATACAGGTGAGATGCAGCTTTGCATTTTAAAGTGCGCTTTATTTACGCGTCAGGCGCATGAATGAGCCATGCAGCGTGTCTCCAAAGTCATGATGCCTGCTTTTTAAACGACGACAAACACTGCCCTTGGTGTGTGGGCTGAAGCAAGGCTTCCTGCAGTTGGAGGAGGAAGTTGCTGTCTCTTTCCCCTCCCGCTGACAGCAGCAGGATGCAGCGGGCAGGGAGAGCCCTGGCCTCCACGTCCAGCAGAGACTGTCCTGTCATTCTCACTCCTTCTGTTTCAGTGAAGTTTAAACCCAGTCTTAGGGTACTCCCACGCTCTCAGTAGCACAACTGTATTTTTTTCCCTTGCACTCATTACGACAGAGGTTGGTGCCTGCTGGAAAATAGCACTTGTAATCCATCTTTGGATGACCTTCCCATAGGTGACTATGTTCAGTGGCCCTGGAACTCTCCTGCAGTTTTCAAAGGTATCATCTGCCCATTGCCAGTGAGGGCTCATACTAGGGAAAAATTAATGTTTATTATGTATAGTTTATCATACATGATTTTGGCGATTTATATTAAAATCTACGAACTAAGCATAGAGGTTGGGAAGTGTAAGCTTTTTTTTTTTAGCTTTAGAAACTTCTATAATTTATTTACACATCTGATTCACCTATATATTTATTCTGCTTACAAATACCCATTTATAGTACAAAAATCAGTTTTAGAAGGTATATAGTTTCATTCATTGACCAGTTAATGGAAAATGTTGTTAATATCTAATTCTCTTGCTTCAACCTTTTTTCATTTTTAACTTTATACTTTTTACAGAGGTCACATTTGGACTCTATGTGTTGATTAGTTTTGACAAATGAATTCACAAGTAATTTTTCTCTAATACTTTTTACTATTAATTTTTATCATGGGTATTCTTTGTCACCTTTCATGATTTCCCCTCAAATTTGTATATATCTTAAATGTCAAGTATAGACATTTTGACATATCCATGTACAATGCTCTGCTTCTCTAGACTCTGTAAATGTTTGTTAAATGAATCCGTGTACTGAGTTTGTGCTAAAAAGACTGTGCAAGTGGAAGTGTTAGTTGCTTAGTCGTGTCTGACTCTTTGCAACCCCATGGACTGTATGGTCCACCAGGCTCCTCTGTCTGTGGAATTCTCCAGGTAAAAATACTGGAGTGGTTGCCATTCCCTTCTCCGGGGCATGTTCCCAGCCCAGGGATGAAACTCAGGTCTCCTGCATTGGAGGCAGGTTCTTCAGCGTCTGAGCCTCCAGGGAAGTCCACAGAGTGTAGGAACCGCCATGGTAGTTACTAGTGACTCAGCAGTCGGCTGAGATGTTGGCCACTTAATTTCTGTAGGTCCTGCATTAGCTTTTCCTTACCCTGATTACACATGGACCTTGACAAATTTAAGTGGAGTCCATACTTATACTTTCTGATATTTAACAAAAAGAATGGGTATACATATGTGTATTTACTTTTGTCTAATGATGACATGAGCCATGATTAATGCCATTTTGCTTAAAACTTGAACATCCAAAATGCCAGGAATTGGCTGACCTGTTTGCCAGAACTTTAAGTCTGCTTGCTTTGGATTTGTTTGTTTGTGTGTGTGTGAGTCACTTAGTCATGTCCGACTCTGCGACCTCATGGACTCTAGCCCGCTGGGCTACAGTGGAATTCTCCAGGCACGAGTACTGGAGTGGGTAGCCATTCCCTTCTCCAAGCTTTGGATTATATGCCATGAAAATGATGTAAGATAACTTAGCAACAAAGGAAAGCATTTGGAAACGGTGAAGTCCTACAAAATATGAAAATAATTTATTGAATGTAGACAAAATTTTTTCCATCTAGTTTTTATTTTGGAAGGAAACAAAATGTCTACTTTCTTCAGAGGGGGAGTCTCAATTTCTACTAATGGGAAAGTAGAGAATTGGTAGAGAAAAAACATTTAGAAGCTAGAAAGTGTTTGAGGAATTTCTCTCTTCAATTATTGGAAGTTGGCAACTGAGCAAAGAAACCTTTTCTTGGGGTATACTGGGTTTCAGGTACCACTGTGGTGAATCTGGGTGTCCAAACGTGTGCGCTTGTAAAAACTTGACTTGGTGAAGCAGCCTTGGAGACTTTCCTGTGATTCTGTCACTCATTTCTGCAGTCTTACATCATCAATGATGGGCAGACTTAATGTGTGAACAAAGGACTGCTCTATAGCCCTTTATAACCTGGCTGCCACCACAGTGTTAATTTAACATATGTTTTGACATTTGTATTCGTTGTTTGTTTGCATGAAATATTTTTCTTTGGGTGAAGCAAAAGGACTGGCAAGTGTATTTCTGTTAACTTCCTAGTACTTTCATGTAACTTGTGACTGACAGCCTTAAGCCCCAGATTATTTATGGATGTCTTCATTACTGGATTTGGGGCCTTGAGGTAATTTTTGCAGTATTTCATAGAGACACAGTATAATTACGTTTGTTTCTTACAATGAAAGGAAGTGTTTTGTTCTATGGATTTTGATAAAATTTTATATATTAATAGTAACACTTTGAGGCTACCATATTACTGATATGGTAATAATCAGCTAAAAGTGGTACAGACAAACTTTTTTGGTATTTTATCTGTTGAAGTATTTTAATTTCTTATTTTAAAGCATCCCATTTCCCAGAATTCTTTTTAATGATTTTTTAAAACTATGAAAAAAATGTTTTAAATCCTAATTGTTACTTTTCTTTATGTACTTTGGATAGTTGTTTGCTGCAACTGAAATTTGTGCAGATTATGAAAGTTTTCTAATTGACTTGATGCTGTATCACTTTTTATACTTAAAAGCACATTAATATATTCTTTCCTGTTATTTTAATAGTATACTTATAGCCAAGATTACCACCTTTGGGCATCATTGCCAAGTTAATTAGTCTCATTCCTAGTTTTGATTATAAGGAAAGATGCAATTTCCCATGAGACCTTTATAATAGAACTCGAAAGTACTGATATCTTGCTGGACCTTGGTTTAAGTGCATGGCAAAGAGTTTTCTCAATTTTAAGCTGATGAAAGCAAATATTATGTAGATAATAAGAATGATAGTATTAATGCTTTTGAAAGTACACAATACTAACCAGAAAGTGTATTTGTTCTTCAGTGTTGATCCCTCAGTTGTTAACATATCAGATGAAATGGCCAAAACTGCACAGTGGAAGGCACTGTCCATGAACACTGAGAATGCCAAAGTACCCAGACCTAACACGAGGTAGCTGTAACAATTTATGCATTTTCTAACTATAGTGGCTTCTAGTTTACTTATGGATAGCTATTTAGAAAACCATTCAATTTAACTCAATTTACATAATTTATATTCTCCTTCCTTAACAAAACCAACATTTTTTTCTTCCTCTTTTCCTTCTTCCTTTCATCTGTCCATCATTTTACTGTGTACTGGAGCAGATACGGGTACTGATTTTTTGTTGTTGTTATTTTTTACATTTATAGTTGCCTACTTCAAAAAAAAGAATTGGTGTTATTTTTTAATAAATATATACATATGGAATAAATATATAAAAGATCAGAAACCATATAAAGAAAAAAATTACTAGGGGTTGAATACTAAAATAGAGTGCTGCCTCAATTATGCTCTGATGGTCCCCCCCAAATATACCTTGTTTTGTTTTGTTTCAGCCTACTATATCTTCTGATTTTCCTAGAAGATACTTGTAAGAAATTTAATCCCTGATTGTAAAGGCCATTTAGTTTTATAATGAACCATGTCTTACACAACTGTTTCATAACCTCTTAACATTTCTTGTTGTGTAATAACTTTTTCTTTCTTTCTCCCTCACTTTAAGACCTAAACTTCAGGAATTCTGACTTGATAATCATGAGTACTTTAACCCCTCATGTCTCTGGAGAAACTAGATATTATCCTGTTGAATACTCTATAGTCATTCAGAGTCAACAGAAACTTATTTTGTGTATACTTTGTTGCAGACCCTGTGTTAGATGTCAGTATGTGCTGTGTGGCTGTCAGATTAAAACTTGCAGGAGAGCAGTCACAGGTTTTTCTCCATCTTTCCCTGCCTCCTTTAGAATTTTGCTTCTGCTTAAACTTTGTTACCAGATTTTTTTTTTTTTTTGCTTTTCTCCCATCATTTCTTGAGTTTTAATTCTCTAAGCTAGACTGTTTCCTTCACTTATATATATGATCTCAGAAGTTTTAAAGTTAAACTTTTTGTCATTTTGGATTATTTCATGCAGCCCGAATTTCACTAGATACTCTTTTAACTTTTAGTAATTTTCAACTCCTGTCAGCACCCCTGGCCCTGAATGTTAGTATAAAGACCTTAGACTAATATTATTTTATCTTTTGTAAGTACTTCTGCCTTTCATTCAGGTTGCCCCTCAATTAAAAATAGCTTAGGAGGAAAGAGAATGTTTTATTATGTTGTTCAACAGAAAAATGTTTGAGGTGTCTTCCTTCAATTTTGTCTGGAAAAGGCAGCAAACTATAGCTTGTTTCTATATTTTGAAGAATGTTCAAAGCCCAGATGTTCTTGTTATAATTAATCAGTTAAGTCCATATACACAAAATCATTGTTTTTGATACTAACTTAAAAATGTAGAATCTTGTATTTGTGAACTAAATTTAGAGAGATAAGGTTTGTAGATTTGTTGCATTTTATAGGAAAGTATTTGATGTTTATTTATATTGACAAAGATTAAATAATGTTTTAAATATTAAATATTTAAATAATTGTTTAAATTTTTTAAATTTGATCAAATAATTAAATAATGTGTCAGTAAAAGTCAAATGTTATAACTGTTCATATATAAAGTAAAACTATTAAGTCAAGCATAGTCATCATACCCTGACCAATTTTAAGTTGTAAGAAAATGTGAATTTCAGTGGCAAAAATATCTATTAAAAAGCTAAGACTTTTTAATATTTGCCTTTGGGCATCACAGTTTACTGATATGAAAAGAAAGCAGTAAGATAGTAATAGCAACTGGTATGTTTATAGTATAAATAGACATCTCAAAGGCTATTAAGGATATTTACTGTTGGCCATGTTTGAATGTAATATTTGACCATTTCAAAATTACTTATTCTCATTCTTTGTTTTAAATAGCCCTGAAAAACCTGTAAGTGTGAAAATAAATTTTGAAGATGAACCAAGAAAGAAATACCTGGATGCTGAAACTTCATTATAGATTTGAACCAAGAGGAATTATATAGATAGATAGATTAGATACATATACATATATGTATGTGTGTATGTATACTGTGTGTGTTTCGCGTCACTATATATAACAATATTGTATGTCGTGCCCCTTACGCGTGACTACTGGGGTTTTTTCCTAAAGTAATGTCTGAGGTTTGTTAGGAGCATCATGGAGACTGTGTTTGTAATGAAATGGTCTCTTGGAAGTGAGGTACATGGTTCTTAATCAAATATTTATTTTTCTGTTGGAAGTTTTTTTTTCTGTTCTGCAGTAGAAAAATGTGGGGAAATGCATTGTCTTTTCTTTAAATCTATTCTTTTAAAAAAATAATCTTTATTTAAATCAGTGGCAGATCATACCAACCTTAAGTGATACGTGTTTTGTCCATACTTTTACATGTTTTCCTTGAGCTGCTAGGAATGTCCCCACATGTCTTCCCTTCTGCTCGTGCAGTGAGGGGCGAGCAGGGCGCTGTGCCCGCGCTGGGGCGCGGAGGCCGCTGCGTCCCGCGTCCCGCGTCCCGCGTCCCGTGCGCGCCCGTCACGTTTCACAGCTGATGGGAACCTTCTGGCTGCGGAGGTGCAGCAGCGGGACTTTCTAGGTCAAACCTACAGCTTTCACCTTTATATTTTTGAAATTTATTTTAAACCTTAAAACCTGCACATCTAGGTTTCCATTCTGATAAACAGGTAAAATTGCAAGTGGTTTTATAATTTAACCCTCGTTCCAGTCATTAGTTAATGAATTTTAAAAGCTATAAAATACCAGCTTAAACTAGTTAAACTCTGTTGCCTTTATAGAATTTTTTTCTGAATCCTAATACCCTTTTAGAGCCCCATATGCCCACTCTGTTCTCTACCTTTGCTGTCTTTTACGTAAAATGTGGTTTCATTTGTATCAGGTTCAAGTTCTTGATTATTTTTCTGTAAGTACGATTAAATAATCAGGAGTCAGAATTCTCTTAAGTGGGTTAATGATCAGTATTACTTTATTAAGAATTACCTTTCATTTTCTCTTTACGTTGTTCTTTCTGTTGTATAGGTAATATTTAATAGATTGTTATCTGTGATTTCATTTTAAGATATTTAATTTATTTTAATTGATATGATGCTTAAATGTTATATAAACATTTGAAAAGATGACACATATAGAGTAAATTTAATGTAGATAGTTGGTGCTCACTTGCATTTATGGTTTATTATCTGAAAGCAGTTGATAGATTTTACATCTTTGATACAAAGCACTGCCATATTTGTATTTTAAAAGAAATTTAGACTTACTATGTATATAGCTCAGATTAATGACATTCTTCCTAGTTTGTGTTTGTGTGTTTTATTTAGATTTTGATTTTCTGAGCTGTCTTTTTAACTTCTAGCAAATCTTTTTAGTCATCTTTTATATACTTTTTAGCTCCATATGAAATAAATAAATGTTGTTCTTGTTAAGCCTGTAGGACTGGATGAATGGGGTTGTGAAACTGATTTGGCAAAAGGATGATTTCTAAAAACCAAACAAGTATTGAGGAGCCACTGAAATACTGAAAATAATAACATGAATGTTAGGATGAAAATTTCAATGAAATTCCAATGCTCTCTTTAATCAGTTCTAATCAAAGTACAAAAGTATGAAGAATTGATCTTATAGAAGAGCATGAGCGATGCCCAAAGCTGATGTTTTAGCAATTCTAGCAATCCATTCCAAACTACTTAACATGAAATTTCCACATCTAAGACCATGGTACCCAATTCTAGTTAAAATAATGGTTTCACCGTCTGCCTCATGGGAGGCTGGAAATGTAACTCATTTTCTTTAGCAAGTGTAGCTGGCATCTTTTGGCGCCGCCTGAAGAAGAGATGCAGTGGTACTTGGTGAGAGAGTGTTACCCATGGTGCTTGTTACTGTTATGAGCTTCCAGTGAAGTGAGTCCTTTTTGTTCATAGCAGCATAATCCTTTCCAAAGACCCCAGTATTTGCTGCTGTAATTTTGTAAACTGCCCTGATTAACCTGAACAAGACGATTTCCTCACATCATTTCCTTGGGTCTGGATGTCATAGGGGTAACAAAATGTGCTTATTTTACAGGAAGTAATTTTAAAATTTAAACTGAAAACTACTTGGGATCATAGTGTTTACGTGATTTTGTTTAATTATGAAAACTAGTTGTCCAGTGTCAGAAAAACCATGACTTGCAGAATGCTTTGCACTCCATGTTTTTACTATTTTTAATTGTAAAATAGTTTCTGCTTTCTTTTGACTACTTGACTTACAAAATGATCTGATATGACTACTCCACTGAAAAGCAAAGCTAATTCATGTTTAAGTAATAGCTTGTTTTATGTGGCTATGATATTTTCCCACTGTTTTTGGAAAATGACCATCATGGATAGCATTCTTTGAAAGATAGTGAAAACTATAATTTAATACATATATTGATTTTTAAATGTTGCCTTAAACGCATATAGATGAGCAGTAGTGATTGCTATGTACTGATTTACCTCAAGGTGCAAAAGTATTAATAAACCTGTGCATATTCCACTTATAAAATAAATTCATAGAAACAGCCCTGCACTTCCTCAGATGCCTTGGTTTCCAGGACAGAGCTCAGAGCTGCTGAGTACCCGGGCTGCGGGGCCGCTCAGGACATTCTTTCTTCCACCTGTTTTATTTATTATAGACATCTGTTTACAGAGACTAATACCATCCTCATGTTGACCATCTGAAATTTAGTTTCTTTTGAATGCTATTTCACTCTAAAATTGCAGCTTTGGGGAAGACAATGAACTCTAGTTACTTCCTTGAGATAAAAGGATGATGCTCTATATTCTCTAATACTAGATACACAAAGTGAGGTGCATGATCTGTCTAATGGGTGTTGTATAGTGTGAGTGTGCCTGTGTGAATGATATGGTCAATCATAAATCTCTCAAGTTGTTTTAAAAAGCTGTGGCATATCATTGTTCATATTTGCCAAGTCTATAAAATGTGTAGGACAATTTTTTATGTGCTAATGCATGTATTTATAAAGCAGATTTCTTTACCACTCAAAATTACTAACTTTTGTTTTATTCATCTAAAAATACATTTCTGTTTCTTCCACATACCCAAAGTTTATGTATATATGTAATAGCTTTATAACCTTTTCTTTTCACAAAATGTAGGTTCAAAATTCTGTAAAAAGAAAAATGGTTTCTGAAACAGAGGTATGACACCAGAGCTTGCCGGTTTTAAAGGATTGTATCATGTACAACAGTTATGTAAATGTGCTCAACAGTGTAACATGTGAATCCCGTTTTAAAATTCTCAGATTTCGGATGTATAAGCCATTGATATAACATTGTAATTCAAAAATGTTTAAATTAAATAATTTAATGTTTTAAATTTATTTATGTAGATCACATCATTGTTATCATATGCAATAGAACTATGTGAACTGTTTTTTGGTTTAGTCCAACAACTATTTATTTTTTTAGAAAGTTAAAGACTTTAAGGACATTCAAAATTTTGAATAGTGTTCATAATTCAGAACTTGGCAATTTTAATGTAAAGTTGGTTCTTTTCTAACTTCAAAAAGTAATGTAAGTGTCAATAGTTGGAAATGGAATCACCTAAAGATCATTTTTAAAATTTAATTTAATTAGCATATATTGACTTCTGCAGTTGACTTAGAGTATTGTTAACAGTTGTTTTTTTAATCAGATTTTTGTGCATTGATTGATTTTTGTGTTGTGGTTTTTCTTTTGTTACTTTCATATTAAAAGGTTTTTTTTTGGTTGTTTTGTGGGGAGGGGGGTTATCTTCCAGTGTTTACTCCATTTAAATAAATAGAAATTGAATTTTATTGTTCATTTATACAGTATTTGATAGCTTCATATAATAAGAACAGTACAGTTCTAATTTTTATGACTTTTATAATTATCAATACAGTGATATTTTCTATTATAATAAAATCCAAAGTAAATTAAGCATTTAAAATGTAGAACTGATATTTTTAATCTATATGAAGTACAAGTATCTACCAGTCTATAATGTGAATAATCCTGCTTTTCAAATCTGTTTCATAATATTAGAAGAAAACTATTTTTTTGGAGATGTTATTGAAGTTGGAAGAGCAATAAAAGCCTACTGAATCAGTCACTGGATATTGTCTTTACTTTGATATTAGAAGAGCGCCCCCCCCCCCCCCCACCCTACATGAGAGGGGATGGAGAAAAAGCAAGTAATTTCTATTTCCTGCCTCCTAATTTTCCTGTGCTTTAGTAAGCAGGAGACAGAAAAGAGGAAACAGTGAGAGAAGAAAATGAAGCAAAATAATGTGTGTTTCACAATGATTTTGTGACAGTTAAGAAATAATGAAATTAAAGCCCTTTATGATAGGCTGGTCCATTATATTCCCTATTTTAAGGCACATCTGTTTAGAGTGAGAATTTTACTATGTGAAATGTGATAAACACACATCACATTACATGATATGTAATGAGCATGTTGATACTTAACTCACATGCTCAGGCGTGCTTTTCTTTTTTGTTTTTAGCAATTAATTTTATTATGAATTTTTTTTTTTTTTAGTTATAGCCAATGATAGGGTTTGGTCTGTCTTCCATTAGGCACATAGGGAGCACTTCTTCCTGTGTTTTCTGGACTTGGTGTAAGGCTTCTGATTTCCCACAGTGAATATGATAACCTTCGGGAGTGAGATGGAAAAAAGTGCTTAAGGTTTTGGAAGCTTCATTTGAAAGTTCTGTTTACATTTACTTGAAGAAAGAAATATTTTTTGTCAATTTATTATCCCCAGCTACAGAGCTTTGAGATCTTTGTGGGCATTGAGGGTGGGGAGAAGAAAGAAAACTGAGTTTCCCACTCATTTTTGTTTGCTCTTGCTCCTCAAGGCAGGTCTGATCTCTGCAGCATCAGTTCTGTGACCTTCACATCACTAACTCTGCTTTTCATAAAAACATTCCTATTGTTTGGAAAGCCTTCCTTTCTGTTTC